GAACGGGGAAACACCCAACCCTTCCTCGCCATAGCTCTTTGCTCGCCGAGGATGTGGCCCCGGAAATCGCCGCGCTGCTCACTGCGCGCTGAGCGCTGGGCGCATGCATCACATGGTCCCATGCAAGGGCGACGCGATTAGATTTGTGGCTTGTGACGCTATCAAATCTGTAGCCTTGACACAAGTTTCACGAGAACCAAAAATGTGTTATTTATGAATAAATATTTAGGCACCGCAGCAATTATTTCCACTGACACAAGGGTGGACAGCGTCGGGCACTGGGGCAGCACATCACTTCTATTTTTAGTACTTGACACTGCCTTTCTGGAGGGGTTCAGCCAATCATGACAGTAATTCCCACGACTGATTGCGCGACTGGATGCGGTACTGGATGTGGTACTGGATGCGGTACTGGAGATGATGTCCAGTCGCACCTCGCGCGGAACTGGATGCGGGTTTTGCCCGTTGTGTCAGCTCCATTCGGTCGTCAGCGACCTGAACGTCGGCTAGACGGCGTCGATGTCAAACGGCGAACAAATGGAACCCCTGCTCTCTGCGCGGCTCTCAACATCGTCTTGTCCCCAAGCCCCACGCTCAGGCTGGGCCATGCCTGCTTGATCTCTTTGGGGCAGCCCAATGCATCCAGTCTCCCGCTGACCGTCCTCCAGTCCTGTAAACCTGGGGCCCAGCTTCCCAGCTCTCTTCGGACTCGCCATGTGTCACAGTGAGCACTGCTACAAGGGTTATGTCATCGAGGGCGAGCCCAATGGTCAGATTGTCGATGGCGCGTACTTTGCACCGGCACCCGAACCCCAGGACGGTTCAGAAACCATTCCTTCGTGCGCTGTCGTCTTGCTCACTGACATCTTCGGCCTCGCGCTCAAGAACCCAAGGATAATCGCCGATGAGCTCGCACAGCGCATAGGCTGTGACGTCTGGGTCCCCGACCTCTTCCAAGGTTTGTGTCCATCTGAGCTGCGCCGGGCACATGGAGTGAGGCTGAAGAGGACAGCACAGGAAGACCTCCGTTTACTGCAGAAGAGCTGGAGCCCCTTCTGCCCGACACCGGCAACCCCAACGACCAGATGACCTTCATGCGCAAGATGTGGATGCTCATGCTCGGCCTGTCTCGCGCTTTCCGGCTGTACGCCATCCGTCCGGCCGTTGTCGACCCGCGCGCCGCTGCGGTACGTGCCATCCCCGTAGCGCCAGTCCCACTCTGCTTACTCGCTCTCGATCCAGTTTATTCGCAGACTTCGTGACGAAAGAAAGTATGACAAGATCGGCGCGGTCGGGTATTGCTTCGGCGGCGCGCTGTGCATACGGCTCGGCGCCGCTGGCGCCGTCGACTCGCTCGTCGTCTGCCACCCGACGATCAATAATGCGGATCAGATTAGAGAGGTTCGCGTTCCCACGGCGTTTGCTTGTGCTGAAGGTAGTGCTTCTCCGTCGGAATCATGAAATTGCGCTCAGTCTTCGTCACGCACGGCCAGCGGACTCCTCGTTTACGCCGGCCATCCGCAAAGAAGCAGAGAAGTACTTTGAGTCACAAAAGGGAACGGAAGGAGCCGTGGAATTCGAGTTCAAGGACTATCCTGGTGCGATTTTTTCCCTTTCCCTTGTCGATTTGGCCCTAACGTCGTGCTTATCGCCCTATACGCACCGAAAAATCTGTCTCGGCTGCATCTTTATCTCGCATCGAACCACCAGGCACAGTCCATGGTTTTGCAACGCGTCCGAATCCGAAGGTGCCCGAAGTCGTCGAAGCGTACAAGGTGGCGCTTGACCAGACCGCAGGTTGGTTCAGGAAGACGCTGTGTTCTTGATATCTGCGATATCCCTCTGTTTCGTGCATCGGATGTGCCAGTGGTTTAACGATATATATATGATGCTGCATCTTTTCAGGGTGAAGGAAGCACCCATCAAATGTCAGCGAATGTGCGAGACTTGAGTCCAAAGCGGCCATCATCTCCCAGCGCGTACAAAGGTCAGCTCAATTATACTAATTACCTGATATTCTACAGCAAGGCCACAACTAGTCTTCGTGAAAACGGTGGCCGCAGAAACGAGGGGCGATGGTATGGCGAGTGCCCCGCAGTCGGTGTTGCAGAATTGCTCCGCTGACCCGATTCTAATTGTCTATCCATCTTTCCCGCTTCAGGCGCATATTACTGTAATTCTGTCCCGCTCGGACCTGAAGACTACGCTGAGGCTGCCAGAGACTCGAGGGCGAGTCTGCGTCCCAAGCTGGACACGGCAGACATGGTCCATCTATCACGTAAGCCGAATCTATTTATCGCTATTTGACGCGACGCGACGCGCATTGAAGCACCACACGTCCATGAAATGTCGTGCAGAGCGTTGTCTGCCCCCCACTTCGTCTTTTCTACTGCCTCTTCATTGCAGGTGCACTGAGCGCAGATAGCATCACAGAATACCTTCCTGCGCGTTGTAAATCATAAAAATATCATCACCGATGAAGAATAAGATTCGTTTGTGTCTGTCTCCCTAGTGCTTGAGCCTTCTTGAATTCGCCCGGGCTGCATAATCTAGCGGCTAGCCTAAGCCTTGAACTGATATCACGTGCGCGGAGGGTATGAGCCAGAGTTGTGTAGGCGCCCATAAAGAGTCAATGACTTTTCTCAATCGATTGCTCCGCGCAACTCCCAAATTCTGCCGTTACACCCATCCTCCTCTACAGCCATACTCGTATCTAAACAGGACAATGTCTGTCGCCGCGTCGATTGCGAGGCTCCACAGTCCGCTGAAAGAGCTTGTCAGCAGCGTCGCCGACGCGCACCATGGTAAATCCGAGAAGGATAAGACGGAGGTCTCCGAGTGGATTGAGAAGGTCGCTGCTGGAGATGCTGTCAAAGCAGACGGTCTTAGAGTGAGCATATTCTGTACTCGCGATCTCCCTCCGCGGATGATAGACGTCAGGATAGGACCTCGATGCCCAGCTGACTCCGAATACCTATATCGTGAGCAATTACTTTACCGCCGCAGACGTCGCTCTCTACGGCGCCCTTCATCCTCTCCTTGTGAGTTTCCTCTTATCTCATACTGCTGGTGCTTCAACAGTAGCTGTGCTTGTATTTCAGGCTCAACTTCAGCCGACACAATACTACTCGCACCCTGCCGTTACGCGCTACTTTGACCACATCCAAAATCGCCCTTTAGTGAGGGAAGCCGCTACCCCATTTGCGCCTGCCTTCTCCCTCGTTCCGTTCGACCTTGAGAATGCACCTAGCATCGAGCGCAAGGCCGACCCCCCGAAGGAGAAGAAGAAAGTTCCAAAAGCAGCCGACCAGGCCGAGTCCAGCTCTGCAGCTGCCCCTGCTGAAAAGAAGAGCAAGAAGAAGGAGGCTGCACAGACTGTTGACGAGAGTGTGAACAAGGATGCGGATGCTGCTGCGCCAAAAGAGAAGAAGGAGAAGAAGCCTGCCCAGGAAAGCGGTAAGAAGGGCGGAAATGCGCCGAAGGCTGCTGAGGATGCGGGCGAGCCCGTTCCTTCCATGATTGACCTGCGGGTTGGGCACATCGTTGATAGTAAGCTCGCTATCTAGTGCGAATCCCTGCATGAACGCTGATACGATGTACTGGCAGTCATGAAGCATCCGGACGCTGATGGTCTCTACGTCGAGGTGCGTTGTCCCACCAATAGTACCTGGCATATGCTAATATCCTGAGAAGCAAATTGACTTCGGCGAGGAGACTGGCCCTCGTACGGTCGTTTCTGGTCTGGTCAACTACATTCCTATAGAGCAAATGCGAGACAAGTACCTCGTCGGTGTGGTAAGGTTCTTGGTGTGGTGTGCATTAGTACCACATTTAACGTAATTCTGAAGTGCAACTTGAAGCCTGCGAACATGCGTGGCGTGAAGAGTTTCGCCATGGTTCTTTGTGTACGTTGACGACGTGCATCATGTCTTAAATCGCACTCTCACCTGTATTGTTCTACTTCAGGCAACACACAAAGATGGCAAGGAGGCAGGTATAGAACTTGTTGAACCACCCGTGGGCTCGCAGCCCGGAGACCGCGTCTACTTCGAGGGCTCTGACTTCGAAAGTACGTTGTGCCCTCTTTCACGGCCTATGCAGTATTTACCACGCCTTCTCTAGATGCTCAACCGTTGTCTCAACTCAACCCGAAGAAGAAGATTTTCGAGACCATTCAGCCCGGTTTTACTACTCTTGAGTCGCATGAGGCTGCTTGGATTAATCCTGGTACCAGGAGTGTCCACAGGATCCGCACCACCAAGGGTGTTTGTGTTGGGCCGAACTTCATTGGCGCATCTTTGTCATGACATACTTATCGTATAATGTAATATAGATGTTGCGATAGTTTGTTGTGATCATCACTGCGATATGTTGTCCATCATCTGCGGGACCTTCAAGTTGACGGGACTAGTCACCAGCTCCGCCAAGCCATTGACTCTGGTAGTACCATTCATTCCCCTAGCTTTTCATCACTGGTGCAGTGTAAGTCCCGGAGAATGTTTAGGGGCTCTCATGCGAACAATACGAATCACATTACTGCATGTTCATGTCTGCCGACGCTAGCCCTTCCTTCTTGTACACACGCTATAATAGGATAGTTGAAGGGTATTTCGCCTCCGCTCGGCTGGCTCCGGATGTAGTCACGTGGTTTCCACGTGCGTCGAATGCCTACAGGCGACCTTCAATTCGCTGCCTCGCACATCCCAATGTTGCTTCGGCCAGGCCTAAACACAGCCTTTCGCAGCTTTAGCACGACAGTATGCAGGCCCGCTAACTTCATCTCCAACATTGGGAAGCAGCCTATCAAAATACCCGACAATGTCACGGTTGAACGGACACCTACCGGAGTCGCGGTCAGCGGACCCCTCGGTTCAACCAGCGTACCCTTCCCAACCTTCGTGAAGCTTGACTTCGACGAGTCGCAGGCCCTCATGGTCTCGGTAGAAGACCTCACCAACAAGACGCAGCGGTCAATATGGGGACGGACGCGGACGCTCATCTCGCATGCCATTATTGGCATGACGGACGGTTTCACGACTCCGATGTACCTCGTCGGCGTCGGTTATCGTGCCGCACTGGAGGATGATCCTATGGGAGAACGGCCGGGGTGGACTGGGAAGAGGCTGAACATGAAGCTGGGTTTCTCGCATCCGGTGTACGTCCCAATCCCAGACCACATCAAGATCGAGGTCGTCTCGCCAACCAAAATTCTCGCGACCTGCACGAACAAGCAAGTCCTGGGCTTGTTCACGTCTTCCGTCAGGAAACACAGGCCACCAGAACCATACAAGGGCAAGGTGCGTTCTCCGTGTTTCATGCGCCATCGCTTGCTGAAAGCACGCCTTCGCACCAGGGTATTATTGTCGGGCAGGAGAGGGTTAAAATCAAAGATGTTAGAAAGAAGTAGACACGACGCATCCTTGTCTCTACACTTGTGCTTCAGTACTATCGTGATTTCTTCCTCTAGTCAGCCGTGTTGCCCTTCTATCTACCGCTGAAGTCTTCATGTCCACGATGGCGCATTCCAGTTAGTTGATACGTGTCACTGCAAGGATGTGTATATATTGGCAGTGCTTCATGACACACCTCTTCATCCCGTTCGAAACGATGTTGCCCTCTGGCAGTATAGCCGTCGAGCCGATCTGCCGCTGGTAGGTAATACCACGCTGTTCTCTTGTTCCAGTTCCGGTGAGTCGTGGCCCTATCTGCAGAACGTTTCCGTGCTGCCAAGTATTGTCGTACCTCGAAGTTCAATAGAACGGTACAGCCTTGTCAATCGCTGGTGCTTGTGCCCTGGGCTCTTCACTTGGCGTCACTTGGTAGATCGTGGGAGACTGTGCCTATTGAGTCTCGGACAAGTAGTGCGCCACAACCCCATCTTGTCTGGTACGACCACCACCAAGTCAACGCCCGCAAACGTCGTCGACGCCCGCCGTTCAGTGTTGCCACTCGAGGCCTTGATTGGCTGCATCAACGTGCGTCGGCGGGATCTCAACCCGCACAGCCGCTGTCGCCAAAAGCGCTCCAGAGCTTCTAAGCTAACCCCCATGTGTCTGCAGCGCTGATTCCTCGAGGCAAACAATTTCAGTCAAGTACGGCCCAGGAGCATCGTTCGCAGTAACAGTGTCGCCATTGATTACCAGCTCGGGCATGTCAGCTTTACCATCCACCGACTTTCGTCAACGGGCACAACAATATGCCGAAGCAAGAATACCAAAGGCTGTAAGTTCTGCGGTGCATGCTATACATTTGGACTACTGATAGCTGGTTATGACAGAAAAAGAACGTTCTGATATATGATAACTGTTCTATGCACCGCTCGACAACTTCCACGGGTGGTGGGAATCCCCCTTCGCGGTCCAAGAGACGAAGTGCCATGAAGATCAAAGATGACGATATGCCTCCATTGGCTGAGCTTGACGACGAGGACGACGAAGATGCACGCACCTTCTCACGCTTTCAGAGAGAGTCGAGTAGTTGGCTGGTCTTTGTGCGTGTTCTGCAAGGCCCGATACGGTGATCGCTGATTTTATATCCAGTCCGGCGTCCTCGCACTCCTCGTCACGCTGTTCATCACCAGCTTTACAGCGAACCCGCTCCAGCCGAGAGTCAACTCGAAAGAAATGGCGCGCCTTTTGCAGCAGGTCAATGGCCAGCTGCATGTAATGCTCGGAGAAATGTCCCGTCAGGGTTATGATATCAGCAGCCTGCAACTTGATCTCGGGACACAACAGGAGATACGGGAGACGTTTGTGACCACAATCCGCGACGTCTGGGTCCCTACATTGTGTTACTCGAGCCTTATTATCTCGCTATTGGGTGCAATGGTCTGCCTTCAGATCAAGCACTGGCTCATGCGCTGCACCATGCGCTTCTTCCCCCTTTCGCCCGCACACCCTGACCCGTCCTCGCTCCGCGCCGCCGCACTGCGGTTCGTCGAGTACAAGAAGAGCCGCGCCGAGACAGTAGCAAGGACAAAGCGCATTGTCATTGTCGTACCGCCACTCATGTACGGCGCCGCAGCAATGTTTGCATGCGGCGTCGCCGCCAAGATCGGCTCATTCTTCTGGATTGCGATCGCATAGTAATTCTCCCTCGTGGGACCGCAGGGGGCTAGCGTGTCCATGGCGTGTAGGTGGTTGTGTCGACGGGGCGCCTCGGATATGGCATAGCCCGCTGTGTGTCTCGCTTCTCTCTTCATTCTCTTCGTATTTCCTACTCTTTCGCAGCGTTCTGCATATTCGTGATCTTTCTCTGCCGTCCAACATGTGTCCCGCAAAGGCCTCTGTATGAATACGTAGTATAGTATTTTTTATTCTGCCGTTCTCGTGTACAAAATATACAAGCTTAACTCTCCGAGCTTGCCATCGTGACGCTATAGTAACTACCAGACGTAAGGGATAAGTCGCGAGGTCACTCGCTTTTTGTACTCCGAGTATTGTGTGCCAGTTAGGAGGTCAGTTTCTTTCACATGTTCCTACGGCACATTGTGAGCGTAGTTTGTTAATCTTTTATGCAGCGACTCACCTCGTGAGGTAACTGGAAAGTAAGGTATACGGCAGTAGTTGCTGCTGCTGCTAGTGGAATGGTGTTCCACCACATGAGGGCATATGTTACCTGGCCCAAGAGCGTTGCCCTGCGTGCTCCGTGAGTGTGACAGAAGTGTGGAGAGGTTGTGCAGGACTTACGCGGCCATGGGATGGCGGACAAAGCTGTATGGACCCTCCTGTGGGATGGAAGGCTTCTCAGGCGTAGACTGCATTGCAGGATGAGAGCGAGAACAAGAGTAAGGTATATGAGGACGTACAGCCGCGTGTATTTGCTGCCTAGTGCGCTTAAGAATGTATAGGAGACCATAGTTCGCTACACAGGCGAGTGTTCTCAATGTAGCGAACGGGCCGACTTCAAGGTCAAGGTCGGGTAATGCCCAGTTGCTGAACCACTCAGGCTGCTCCATACTGCCCCATGCCGTGCTGACGAGGTACACAGTAGGCGTAACGATGATGGCTGCGTGAACGACCGGAGACAAGAACTTGACGAGGAAAGGAGTAGGCGGCTTCACGCCAATGTTTGCTCCAGGAGCTTGAGGAATGCCCGTGTCCAAGTTCGTCTGGGGGAGTCCGTGCTTGGCGTGCAGCCTGTGCCGATGGCCCTTTGCGTGGTTGCGGAAGCCGCGGTATACGCCGGCGAAGGTGGTAAGCCAGACGACGGACTCTACACCCTGGGCGTGAGAGACAGGGCTCCTGCACAGTATTTCGTAGACATTGAGGCCGGCAATGTAGACCATGGTCAGTGCTGTTGTTGCTGCCGCCGTTGCTGTTGCGGACGGGTTGTAAAGACGAGGGGGCAGCTAGCCGGCTGACGACGGGAGCAACCTGGAGCAACTGGGGTTAGGGTCTTACGTGGTGGAGTTCGCGTACGACGGGCACGGCCGGCACGGGGCGAGCCAAACGCCGCTGACACCGGCGGTACGATGACGCATCAACAACGCCGAGGCGGGCTGTTCGATCCAGTCCCGTCAATGTTACAGCTAAGCGCTATTGTAATGCCTACAAGTCTCCGCCGCCAGCCGCCGGTCTCGCTCTCTCCTGCTCCCAACACTGCTCAGTATCGGCGAATATCCTGTAAAGTTTGCTCGCCTATTTGACCCTTGGCTCGCGCCCATCCTTGCAATTTCTCCCGCAAAGCGCACTTATCTCGGTACACGTAAGCTAGGTAAGTATCCGCGACGCGCACTGCCCCACCCTTTCCGTTGACGACCGGGAACCAGTGCCTTACCATGCCCCCCAAGGACCAGGGAGCACTCGTGAAGCAATTCCGAGAGGAGTTGACAAAGGAAGACCTTCTGCACGAAGGAGACTCCATAGGTACCGATGACCACACCTTACTGTAAGTGGCGCGCGTCTTTCGATAGCCGGTACGCGACCGGCTGACTGCCCATTAGACGATTCTTGCGCGCGCGGCAGTACAACCTAAAGAATGCCAAGACAATGTGGAAGAACTGCTACGAGTGGAGGAAAAGCGTAGAAGGCGTTGGTATAGACGAGCTTTACAGACGAACAGACCCATTTGACGTACGCTCTTTGCCCATATATATTGGTTTGAAGACTTGCTTAAATCTCGCTTTCGTAGTATCCTGAGCGCAACCACGTCTTCCAGTTTTGGCCACTGTTCTTTCACAAAGTAAGCATCGTGTCACATATATTTTGCTTGACTCTGACCTACTTTTCTTTATAGACGGACAAGAGAGGACGTCCACTCAACATTCATCATTTTGGTCGCATAAATACTACCGAGCTGTACAAGGGTATATCGCCTGAACGCTTTTGGCAAGCATTCCTGGCCAATGCCGACTCGCTCACACGAGAGGTTCTTCCTGCCGCCACGGTCGCGGCTGGCAAGCCTATAGATGGGACATTCGTGATTGTCGATTTGAAGGGCTTCAGGTAAGTGCACAACTACCATATTGACAACCTGTTTGCCAAATGTACGCTCTGTAGTACAGGTCAATTCTGGCAAATGAAGAACCTTGCAAGAGACGCCTTCCAAATCTCGCAAGACTACTTCCCTGAGGCGTGAGTCGTGTCCACTTGGATGTATGCGCATTTTTTCTGATACACTTGCCAAAAAGTATGTCCCAGCTCGCAATTGTGAACGCACCCTCGTCCTTCACAGTCATCTGGGCCGTCATGCGCCCCTGGCTCGCAAAGGAGACTGTAGAAAAAGTCTCTGTCCTTGGCTCTAATTACCAAAAAGCTCTCCTCGAGCTCGTCGACGCTGAGAACTTGCCGGAGACCCTCGGCGGTACGTGTACCTGCGAGGATTGCACAAACGTCGAGCCCGATCACGGCGCAGGTGGTGTCGCCGAGATGGGTCGTTGTGCATTCAGCAGCGCTGGCCCGTGGATGATCGGACGCGACGAGCGGAAGGCAGCTTGGCTGAAGGGTGAGCGGCGGGACATGGGATTACAGCCCGGCGAGATCGAGAAATTCACGAAAGGGGCAAACGCAACGGTCGCGGCCACAGATGCTGGGAAGCCTGCACAGCCTGCGCAAGACAAGAAGGCGGAGAGCGAAGCCACGACGCCCAAGGCCGAAGAGCGACCGTCTGCAGCTATCGCGGAGGACTCGCGGGAGGGCGAGGAGTGCTTCGAGGATGCCAAGTCCAATCTCGGTGAAGCGTCTGCGGAGGAGAGCTCAGAGGATGCCTCCCCCGGACCGTCGACACCTGGGGTGGAGTCCGCACGGCAGCAACTTGACCAGGCTCAGATCAAATCCAACGACGATGAGCCGCCGCGCCGGCTCTCGCATGAGGAGGCTGCGCGCATGATGGAACAGAAGCACGCGGATACGCGCCAGATGCAGACCGGTGACTTGCTTGCTGAGGTATGATGATGATGTGTTGCGGTGGTTCTCCTGCTCTTTCTTGTGCGGTTACTCAACTCCTAAATTAGTGTAATGTTTCCATGTAAGTTCAGTATCGTTGTAATTATATGTGTGTGTAGCAAGTGTGTAGTCTCCAGGTTGCAAAATTCCAGGGAGTTCAAGTATCGCAGTTCATTAATAGAGCTCATGGGCACCTAATGGGCCAACCGGATAAGCCGGTCTAGAGCACCAGCAGCTAACGGCATGAGTATCTTGCTAGTTCGGTCGTATTTGTATCCCACGGAAAAGGGTAATCCGAAAGTGGTACATTCTTGGCGTAAGAGATACTCGGAGAAAACAGAAGTGGAAATGTGGGAAAGCCCATTAAGTACGCAGTTCAGGAGCTCCCTGCTTAGAAAATCGTAATGAAGTCTTGTATCCTGTCCCTGGCATCCTGGGCAATGCACTCCGCAATCCATGTTAAGCTGCGAATCTCCTGCTCCTTGAGCTTGATGTACGCGTAAAATACGGCGTATTGGAACTGTTGTAGAAACGCTTGCTTGTTGAGGTGCACCTCGTACAGGAAAAAGCGGTCCTCAAGCTCTGTGCCGACGCCGCCGCCATCGAGATCGCCAAGAAGGTGCGCGGTGCTCCCGTTCGCGGTGCTAGGTGCACCACCCGAAGCTGACGAGTCGAAGAATGCGCGGTATTCTGCGATCGGCTCACACGCCACGCGCACTTGCTCGATGTCATCTGCACGTGCAAGCTGATTGTTGCCCTCAGGGAAGAGCCGTCCGATGGACGGGAAGAGGCGTGCACGTTGCTCCTTCGAGAGCTCGGTACCGAAGGAGTTAATGGTGATGTTGATTGCGCGGCGGTCGGACTCAAATGCAAGGATACGAGACATGATCTCCGCGGTCGAGCCTCCGATCTTCTGGCAAAAGGTATGGAAGTCTTCGAGGTAGGACTTATAAAGCGTATTCCGGATTATTTCGATGTTCAAATCGTCGAGTTCGGAGGCCGTAATGCTGTCGCGAAAGAAACGTGCTGCGTAAAGGTAGGAGATGAGGCCTAGAGTGATGTACGTCTATTGGGATACGTACCGAGAGGCGTCTCGACGAGAACGGTGTGATAAAGCTCCTCGACGTTTGAGGCAACACACAACGCGGGCATAGAGTCGAACACGCCCAGCGGGTGGCATCGTTCGATGAGCTCGTGCGTATCGCGTTCGTGGAGCGTTCCAGTGATGAGTAAGATGACGTTGTCGATCATGTAGCCATAACTGCGCGCACCGTTACGCTCTGGACAGGGAATACAGGATTCGCACGTACGTGATGTAGTCTAGAAAGGTAGCAAGAGGCTCGACTGCGTTGCTTCGGAGATAATTGAACTGGTCTACGAGGACCTGAGTCGCCTTGTCCGCAATTGTAGAAGTCGAGATTGGCAGAGACTCATTGGCGAGGAAGTTTCCGTAGTCAGTGGCCGACAGCTGCGTTCTGAAATCTACGTGGCAAACCAAAGATCACTATGATACTCCGTTGTATGCGTGAGTGCCTATCTGCAACGCACCTTCGATCGTCTCGCACTGGGTCAGGTTGTTGTACTGGTTCTGGGCGAGCAGGCCGGCCTTATAGCCCCTCACGATTCCCTCGAGGAATCCAGTGTCCGCCTAAGCCGCGCCATGCGCTGCGTAAGTTAAGTCTCAGGAACCTGATGTGGAAGCCAGGGGCATACGTTGTAGAAGAGAGCCTCCATCGTCGTCCTGCGCAATGTTGCACTTCAGCCGCGGATGCGTCACTCCGAGCTCGGCCGCTTTGGGAAAAGTTCCCACAGTCAATGTAAGAGTTCTCACGATCAGCTTTCTACGTGGATGCAAAATTGCTATTACAGCCGTGTATTTGGCCTCGTGCTGCACATGTCCCTCGCATTAAAGCAACTGCATCTCATGCCAACATCTTTTTCATCTAGAGTGGATGCATCAAGTAATCTTCCTCCCGGCAGAAATCCTCTCGATTCCTTCATTGCCCTCAACCAGCAGTCCGTTCGAGATCGCATTTATGTATAGCCCTCTCGTTAACTGATCCGTCTGAAGTTAGCAGAGATATACCAGCAAACAGATAGAGATGCATGTTTGGCATTAGCCTCAACAATTCGGGCACTTCCTCTTGCTTCAAGAGCCTTTGGCACTGATACCGCAGACGGCTATGGTTTCCGAAGATTCTGCCATTAATTTTTACTATTCAATAGAGCCGAATGCTTAATGTACTCCCTGTAAGTTTCAGCCTCCAATTTTGGGACATATGCTAGAGTCGCTAGCATCTGATATTGTGAGTTCAAGTTTGCTAGATTATGCTCACTTCTCGGACCATATCCCTACTAATTTAGCAGACCTTTTTGGACTTGTATTCTTCTTGCAACTGCTGTTAGCGTCGTTATGACTCAACTACTCGGGCTGGGTTACCGGCCGGTCCAGGGGGGGGGGGCTGATACTTAGGTTTGGAACGTTTCTGCAATATGAAAATTACATAACATCGGGTGATAAGTCAAATCATAGCGTAGCACAATCAACAATCGTGGGACCCACCGGACACGACTCGTTGGTCGGATGACCATGAAAATCAAGATCTAACATCCAAGACTCCGAAATTATCTGGTTTCATGATATCTAGATCATGTACGCACCCGGCTCATTACAACTAATGCTATAACTAGCATAAGTATATCAATGATAGCTCTCGCCTGTCGAAAGTGCTTGAGCATTCTAGATAAGTTCGCCGCGCGCATCGGGCGCATCAAACGCCACAAAGCACTTGCTATCTTTGGTTAATGCCCGAACCATTAGACTTATGCTCCTAGCAGAGTTCATGGCGGCCTCCTGCTCTCGTAGACAACAGTTTACTGTGCTACGAGCCACTTACCACTGTTGATTGACTGCTGCAGTGGATGTGGATTCGGAATCAAAAATCTTTCAAAAGCTGCTCGAAGTACTGGTACTTGCAGTTAGTCAACCGGTGATAGACGCTTTCTGCAGGGCGGGATGATATCGGGTATCAATGTGTCAGGCACGGCGGATAAGACCGCGCAAACGACCTTCACTGCATAGAGGCGAGCAACAAGTACAAGCTCAGCATTTGGAACTGACACTGCACACGCAGGACTATAAAGCTGTGGTAAATTTGCATTATTGTAAGCTCTTACACACCAGGAGAGGTAGTGGAGGTACGAGACTGGACAAACACGCAACGAGCTGTGCGGATTTGTTTTGGACAGTAATATTTAAGGTCATACTGGAAAGGAGAAGACTGAGTCTGCACCGTAAACTTGCGAAGAGGGACGCAAATGCCAGAAAGCGCGCGGGGAGCCTAGCTGCAGAATACATGATGTCTAGATTAAATATAAATATAAAAACAAAATTGCGTTTCCAGCCTGCATATATATATATATATATATATACATTCTTGCCTTACAGTTAGTGCCAGGAGCACTCAAAGCACGACATTGCAGACATCTCTCGACACTGGCATAGTAGCAGTTACGGGACCACACAACACTGACAAGGATGAGCGAAGGCCAGCGTTCCGCTAACGTTAGTCACACTCGCGGCGGGATGCGTCTACTGAGGTGTGCCGAAAGTCCGCTGGCCGTCTATCAATTTTTGATTGGTTGGAACGAGGCGAAGGGCGGTTAATAGCGCCGAGTGGCGCTGGGCAACTGATACGCGGTGGAGTCTGAGCCTGCCACCCTAAGAGTTGACGGGGCGGTGCAGTAGGCTACCGCTCCGAGCACAGCAACGACGTCCGTCGGGGCAAGTCATTTACAACTTATCTCGCCTCTTCAGGCCTGCTAACACTGGACGATGGGCTGGACCCTGGAGCTCATGTCTAATTTGTGTCGCCACTCAATATCGCGCTGTCAAGATAATGCCGTCGGCACGTCAGGGTTACTAAGGCCGTCGTTCATTCATCTTTTTCTTGCATCATTCGGCCAACTTTGAGAGCGGCTGTTACGCAAATCGCTCGTAACAAAACCTCACATTCCGCCGTCCTCATCCAATCTCGGTTGCGCGTCCAAACTAATATTTGCTCTTTTGGCCTGTCATTGTTCTTATGAGCCGCTCGACGAGCCAACCCCTCGGATCATGCTGGTGTTGCCCCCCCAACACGGGTACTTAGAGCGACGGGGTCACAGGGGTACATTTTTGTCTCTCTCACTCTTCACCGTCGAGAACCCCTGCGCCTGGCGGGCCCACTCCTTTTCTATAGTCTTATTATCTCGGGCCTCGTCCTTCGTGGCATTCTCACTCTCAGGTAAGCGAAGGAAGACTGGACGATCGCACCTACTTATCCCTCGAACGTAGTCTCGCCACCATGGCTGCCCAAATGCCCCTCGATCAGGTTTTTATTGTCTCCATTTGGATGGAGGTCAGTCGTCTGGATCTTCGATTGTGTGGTGAACGAAGTTTCTCAATGTGTATATGGCGCAGGCAGTCCTATACGGGTTTTTACTCGCGCTCACACTAGCGTCGGTGTATATTAACTTGGCCTTGCACCGGCACCAGAGTACTCACAGTCGTGTACGTTTCATACATGTATGCAGTCCTTCGTACGCAACTGACGGCAGTCGGGTAGATCATGTTTGGTGTTGGCGTCGTCATGTGGGCAATCGCCACGGTCCATCTTTGTAGGTCCCAGCTTTATCGGTCATGTCATCTCTCGATCTGACCGACTTGCAAGCTCTCAACTGCTATCGTTTGATACAAGGCTATGTCATCCATCGTGATTACCCCGGAGGGCCTTCAGCTTGGTTCAGTGTCCTCTCGTCATGGGATCATGTCACCAAGGATACCTTGTACGCTACGCAGGAGATTCTTGGAGATGCAATTGCTGTACGTGCGGAATCTCGAGCCTTTACCTTACATGCAATCGACTCTATTTTAGATATATCGGGCATGGATTCTCTGGAACCAGGATTGTAGGATCTTATTCCCCCTCGTAGTGTTACTCATAGGTGGCACGAGTAAGCTACTATTGCTTCATCATCTTTACACGAGCTATTGCTAACTTTCATCCAGTATCTGGCTATACCGTCTGCGGCACGTTTACTGAGGAACATGGAACGTCAAACATATTCGACCACAAGCTCAAATCTTGGATATCTGCGTTCTATGCAATATCCTTCGTACAATCTGTGCTAACGACAGGTCTCATGGCCTATCGCATCTGGAGCACTGAACGGTTTTCGGCAAAATATCGTTTAGACAACAGAAGTCTCTTGCCCTATTTGCGCATCCTCATTGAGTCCGCTGCCCTTCAGCTGATAGCGGAGCTCATCGTACTCGCTTTGTATGCTTCCGGGCGCAATGCGCAATACATTCTCCTTGAGGCCCTCACACCCGTCGTGGTAGGTGGAACACATCCCGATCGTGCGCTCTTTCTCAGGCTCATCTGCTGCAGGGAATCACTTTCAACGCAATCACCATCCGTATTGCGCTTCGCTCGTCTGAAACATTCATGAACATGAAAGGGGAGCCGCGTCAGCACACGTCGGGCTACACCACGCGCCCAATGCGGCAGACCATTGGTGGATCTGCTATGCCTGCGCAGGCCATCACGATCAATATCGACCAGGACATCGAGACAGATGCTCGCAGTGATGCCGAGGAACTCGACCGAAAATAAGCTGAAGCTGCTTCGGACAGTACCTCCGTGCATTCTCGTCAGAACTTCGATGACAGCATACCTATACCACGGACACGCTCATTTAGGAATCACGCTCGCTATGTTACAGACCTCCTGACCTACGACATATTGCTGTAATAATAAGTTGTGTTATTGAGGTTGCAGTGCGACCCACTGCCTGAGCAATGTTTATCGGTTGCTGTGTCACGCAGCCGCAGCCATTTTCCCACGCTCTCAAGCTCTGTCGCACATGATTGTCCACTTCTATTTCGACCTTCCCCGACTCCCGAGGCCGGGGACCCGGTGTCGGCGTGGGTTTCGAGCGCAATATATGAGCGGACGGTCTCGAATGCCTTTCGATAGAACCGCTCTCTCACAATTGCGACCTCACTGCCTCTGCGATCCCGGTCTCCAGGCCATCCGTAGGTGACTGCTCATACTCGACTTGTCCCCTAGAGACTTAGAAAATGGCGTACTCTGTTACCACGAAGAGGACAACAAAGCACCGTGTCGCGCATCCAAAGGACTCCGAGAGCCCACTGACAGGTGTACTTGAGCAGCTCAACCCGGAGGAACCGACCAAAGGACGGAGACTTGCTCTGGTGCGTGGCGTTTAACCGCGGGGATCACTGTACGCTTACGTCCACGCAATAGTTGCTGCATGGGACTATAGGGTCTGTGCTCCTCGCAGAGTCAGCCACTATCTGCTGACGAACATAAAGACACAAAGATTATCTCTTCCTCAAACGCCTCGCCCTTCGGCTTCCCATAGACTCGTTCCGCTTCGATTTCCGGTACGTTTGAGGGCCCACGTGCACGCGTACTTCTCAGCTCATGACCCTTCGCATAGAGGCAATTTTGAGTCGCCAGGCCCATGGCGTATGGGTGCCTTCGACAACGACGTAGAAGACCTTAAAGCAGTCGTAGCATACTTGACCTCGGAGCTCGGATACGTAATCGATTTGCTCATCGGTCATTCAAGAGGAGTTGTCGCAGCGCTCCGCTGGATGTGCACAGCCAAGGAGGCTGCTGGCGTCAGAGGTTTCGTGAATGTGTCTGGACGGTACAGAATGCCAGTGCGTATGTAGCCGTGGTTAGCATAGAAATATAGATATCTAACACAGCACCCACAGCTAATTCATCGTTGGTCTCGTGCTGATTTTGCGAAAACAATGCTAATAGACATTCACAGAGACCATCATGGACAAACAGCATGAACTCGACACCAAGGGTTGGTTCATTCGCGATGCTACCGTAGCTCGGCAGCCTTTCTCCCAGAAGTAAGTTGCCTCCACACTGGGCGAACTATCCTTGGAATATTTTGTAGGGTCACCAAAGCCGATATGGAAGAGTTCGCGAATTTCGATACCTCTTTGGTCTGGGACCATTTCCCCCAGCAGACAGACGTGTTAACCATGCACGGTCTCCGAGACCAGACTGTACCCCCGTAGGTGTCAATGAGTCTACACTTTACGTTATGACTCATAGCATATTGACCAGATATGATGCATACATTTATGCTCGCGCTCTGGGTGCAAGAAGTCCTGGTACGCACAACCTTTGCCTGGTAGAGGAGGCCGATCATAACTTTACTGGAGTACGTCATGCTCGACGTGTTAGCCGGCATAGTCTAAACTTTGATTTCTAGCTCCAGGATGATGTCGTAGCCACTGTACTCGAGTGGCTAGGGATGCTGGATACTGGGATATTGAAGACGGGTGTCTGGCATACAAGCGTTAGCCACGAGCCTAAGCCTGGACAGAGCAAGCTGTGACAACCACACAACCTCTCAACGTGGGTTGGCTAGCAGAGATGCTACGTTCCCTTCAGTATTACTATCGAACTCAACCACAATCGTTTAAATAGCCAGACAAATCATCGTGTGCCTCAATCCCTCAACGTCGTCGCAATCTCTCTGTATCAGATCTGGATCCTATGAAACAAATGAGTCGGTATCACAGCGTACTAATCTTGCAATATGTTCTAATACACGGTCTATATTACAACAGGTCGAAGATCCATCCCATAGTGTGCGCGAATACTTCCGTCCCCCTCTAGATAAGTATAATCGGAACAGTAAGAGCACATACTAGTATATATCCTGCCCGAAATGTCCGTCACGTGTATCTGCTCTTCACTCCGTTCGTATCGAAGTTATTCGCGACCTTACTGAGAAGGAATTGTCCATACACGACCGGCTCATATTTCCTTTCCTCGATTGCCCGCTTGCCAGGCTTCTTGGGCTCTCCGTCTTGTAAACGTAATGCCGCAGGCAGCGCCTTGATGAACGCGTCGAAATTAGGCTCAAAGAAGAATGGAATCCTGATAAAGTCAGATAAGAGGAATAATATGTAGCACAGGATACGTACGAAACGCTAGATGGAAGTCAGTGCGCGATCCAGTTGAGAGGTAACGCTGCTTACCGGTAGTTAGAACTGCGATGTACGACACGGTGAAGCGTGCTCTTGTAGAGTCCGTTCGTCCAGATTTCCCACACTAAAGTACTCCATGATCAACAATAGAATATGACTCATGTCTTGTATACAGACGTACTTTCTCCAATGTTGCACACCACGCAGCCCGGGATGGGATCGGCCTTAATCCAGACACCAAACTGTTCGACGTTCTCGCTTGGCGGGATATCGGGTGCAGTCTGTACTAGGTGACCTGGACGCTCCAAGAAGACTTCGAGGGCGCCAGGAGTAGGGTCCGCGTAGAGGAACCTGAGAGCTGAATGAATCACATTCCCACACATTATAAGAGCGAAGAGCGCACGTTAAGCATCCATAGTCTCTGTCAGGGAAGTGATAATGAGCTAATTCAGCCAACGTTACAGGCGACGATGCCCTTACTTGTGTGCGCCACATGAGAAACCTTGATAATCATTGGGCAAGGGCGGATACCCTGTCGACGAGCTGAGTGGAGGTGTTCTGTGCGGATAGAGTGAAAGCAAGATACCTATCATGCGCATGACCCAGAAACTGTTTGATACTTGGGACTTCAAATCCTCCCACTCCTCGGGAGTCATGCCCAGACCAGTAGCCATCCTAAGATTCAAACAGTGTCAACAGATCTCGACAGGTAGAAAGTAGCGACGCACGCTTCCATGACAGCTAGACCCAGCTTTTTCATCTTCTCAACCCAGGCTTCGTACTTCTCTCGGAAGCCCGGGATACTGGGCCATTGATTCGTTCCCCACAGCGGCTTGGTCCTGTCAGGAAATTCGACTGGACGATAGAAGTCGACGCCTTCGTGATTATCGGCTAGCCCATTGGTGACGTTCTCCTTCAGACGGGCATATCCTAGTGCCAAGCGTCAAGCCAGGTTCACTTCGCGGATGGGTAGAGTGCACCTCGAGCGCCGTCCTCATTCCTCAGAGCTATCTTGTACTTTTCTTCCTCTGGTAGGGCAAAGAACTCTCGAGCTAACCGTGTTAGCTCTTCAGGCTCTTTGGGGTCAACATATTTTGATATGTCCAAGTAGAAGAACCCATATTCCAGACATGCGGAGTGAAGGGCCGCAGCGGTCGACATGCGCTTGCCGTGATTGCCTGGGAAGAGATACGGCGAGATATCAATGATGGGTAGCGAACTGAGCTTAGGGTATTCGTCCACAGTAGAACCCGATAGCTTGGAAGGAGACGACATATTGTGAGCGCGTCGGACAAGACGGCGAGGGCCAACGATGATAGGCTCATTGAACGATATGAAGAGGACGGCGCGATACGGCGCTTAGATGAGATAAGATATGCCAGAGGGCGTCGCACGGTATGCATTAGCAAACTCATCCGTAGAATAACACCCACACACGCTGAGCCGACAACAAACATAGTCCTCTTTACACGCCATATAAAGCTCTGCCGTTCATCGGTTCGGCTGCCTCTGCTGCGAGTAAATCGTCCGACCCGGATTCCCCGTCAGCCCGTTCCTTCCGAACGGTATCCCGGGTCCCATAATCTGTCCATGCGGCATATGTGCAGAGTGCGCTGATGATGTAGACGACCATCGGTCTTCTTGGCTGCCGCCATTATGCACAGGCAAGTACTCCGGCGGGAGGTACGTTCCTCCCGGATACGAGGAGCTGAATGTATCAGTGCCTTGCAGTGATTTGCCACTGACAGCGGCGCTGTTTGTCATGGCACTTACGCTATCTTGACCGTTGACGGGCCTGGCATGCGGAGTCCGCCCACTTGCGCTGGCGAGAACATCGTCAGCGAGTCGTGATCTCGAGGAACGTTCGCGGGGCCCACGGGCCTTTGAGTTTCCGTTCTGCGACTTCGTGGCTGACGAAGAGTCCTCATGCGTCTCGATATCACTACTGAGGGTGTCTTGTCGTCGGCGTGATTTTATTCCGCGGTTACTTTGACGTCTGCCAACATCGTCAGCAGTCGGAGTCGGACGATGGGAAGGAGCTGTGTGTGCATTTGCGTTCGTCTCACTGGTGCCGTTTACTGAACGCCCCTTGCGTTGTTTTGTGGTGGTAGGATTTGAAACGTTAGGTAAAATAGACGGTAATGGCGTAGGTAGCGGGGTGAAGCCGGGAAGCGGCGATGGCGCAGTAGACACTGCAGGCTCCAAGAGCTCCTTCTCTTTTGCGGCACGCCGTTCCAAGGCATCAGCCAGGGGAACCGGCTGTGGGATGGTGTCTGCATGGGGGATAAATGAAACGCAGCAGGGTACAGAGGCCACGATACATACCCTGTAGGAACTCGAGCTCTCGATACTGGAGCGTGGCGTAGGCTGAGGGTAGATGTGAGCAAGTGTCAACGAGACTACAGATAACAACGAACCTAAATCACGATAGTTGATAATTGAACGTCTGTCATGGGCAGCCTGACGGTGTCCAGCCTCAGCCAACCGTCTGACGATCGCTTCCTGCACGGGGTCACAAGTGTTTAGAGCTGTACTTGCAGTTTGGGTGCTTGACATACTGTGGCAGCGGCAAGCATGAACATGGCTTCTTTTGACATATGGCTACCCACCCCTATGGGATACTGGGTCAACGGATAACGCAGAAGGAGAATGCTGAACGCCGCGACACACCTTCTGAGTCCAGTATTGTCTCCAGACGATCCATAGGTATGAGTGTTTGGCCTGGGACGCGTTCTCGTTGCACAGGTCGCCGCTGGCGCGCTCTGCTGTTTCCAGCGGGCACCTCGTCCTCCGTGGTGTCCGAGTCCAGCTGGTCAATCTCCTCCTCGGCTTCTGTCTCGAAATCGTCCTCTACATCCAGATCCACCTCCATTTCGTCGTCGATATGCGCCACGCGTGGTGCGCTGTGGATTGACATGCTGGTTGGACTCATGGCCATAGTGCGCGGTTCACGGACGGCCGAGGTATGTGCCAGCGCGGGCGCGGTAGTGGGCGGATGTGGGCGTCGTGGGAGACAACGAGGCGCAAGAGGTTACCCAGGCACGGGCAGAGGCTGGAGAGCTGGACCGGGCGGCGGTAGACGTGAGGGCTCGAAAAGGCGATGTCTCGCGGTCCCCATGTTCCTTTTCCTTCTTCCCGAGCGCAAGTTCATGATGAGGCGCGTCTGCCAGTGGTCTGAGCGTGGGAGCGTCTCCCCTTTTCACAGCGACCACCACGTTCAGTACACAAACAAATAATGTGAGTTCGGCTCAAATAACAATATCTATTGTGGTATGTGCAGAAATTTTAAAGGCATCCTTCGCCCAGATGCAGTACAAATAATATATTACACGATGATCTCAATGCGCGCTAACGAACTGCAGCTCCCGGGCCCTGTTGCGATAATCCCGTCCTTCATTGAACTTCGATCTGGACGCTTCCAGGGTCCTCTGCCTTGGGTACGGTGACAGTAAGCACACCGTCATTCAGCTTCGCACCAACATGGTTGGGATCCACCCTACGAGGCAGCCAGACTGTGCGAGTGAAGGTCCGCGAACCGACGAACTCCCTCTCTGACGAGATCTCTCTGGGCTCGGGTGGCGTTGTTGTCACAGCCTTCGTGCCTGCATAGCGTTCCGTCAGCGTTTTGCTCGACTCTTTGTCCTCTGGCGTGGACATACCTTCGGCACCCTGGGTGGTCTCTCCTCCGGACGGGCCCGCCTTTGAGGAGGCCGACTGCCCTTCTGGAGCCACTCCCCTGCGATCGACAACCTTGCCTTCGATGGTAATGCTCCGGCCACCGTCACCAATGCGAACTTGTACGTTCTCCTTCTTTACGCCAGGGAGCTCGGCCTCCACAATATAGTGGTTCCCCTCTTCTGTCACATCCATCGCTGGCCGGAGCAAAGCCGGGCTGGTGAAGACAGGGTCTTCGAAGAGTCGTGTACGTGGAAAGCTCGTGTATGTGGGTGAGCGACCAAAGGGTTCCTCCAGCATGCGGAAGAGGGGACGCATTTCCCGAAAGAATTGGCGAGTAAGCGACATATTTACGAAGGTGCAGTTGAAGTAAGAGCTATTGAGTGGTTGTGACGCTTTGATCTGTGCGGGGCAGCACGCTTATTGCACTCTTTTATATGTTTGGACCTTTAGGAGCCTCTGGCCTGGAACAGGCGAGAAGTTACTCGCCCAGTGAGGCAGATGACTGCATGTTCCTTCCTGACATTGTCGACAAGCGCCTTGAAAGCGCTCGAAGTTTCGACGAACAATCTAGAGCTTCGCGTGCAGAGTCTTCGGTTGTCCCAATGTACTGCGTCATTGTAAAATAATATATGGCATCTAGTCCGATAGTCACAGGGGGAGATTGCTAACAAGGACACTGTCCTGGAGGCTGATAAACTCGATGCTGTTACAGCTAGTCGTACAACGGAGCATCTATCGAAGTCCTGCGAGTAGCCGCTTACACACCAGGCCACTCTACTACCCACTGTGCCGCGACCAAGTGCTCTTGGTCGTCATCATCCTCGAATTTAAGTTTGTACATAGGAACATCTTTCGCAGCAGGATTATTCTGGCACGACCATTTTCAGCGAGCTACATGAATGGCGAAGAATAGCGACGCACCCGAGCCATATCTTTCGGGTTTTCTATAACTTCTGCCCGATAGAAACAGCTTGTGTCGGGATAGAGAGCCATAACTGTCTGGCCGGCCTGAAATTCAGGATATGCATTGAGATGTGCTGCACTATCTGGTGGTGCGGTCATATCCGGTAGCGGGATAATGCCACGTAACGTTGTATTGTAGCACCTGCACAAACGACAAGCGTGAAGTTGCAAAAGTGGCATATGGAAAGCACATACTGTCCTGGTGAGCCATCTTCCTGAGGTTCTGGATCTTGTACCTCGTATCTACAAAAAGAGCGATCAGCAAAAACGACGATAACCAACCTGTTTGGCTTGCCGATTCTTGTCTTGATTTATAGATTTCGTTACGACAGCCAAAATCCACTCTTCGTCCTTTCCACCACCGGTGGAGTCGGCAGCTTTGCTCGTATTCGAGGGCGGATGGAAAGCGACTTTCCTGCCAGGTCGCAGCGGTAGTTGCTTGCTAAGCGCTTCTCTTCGTGCCTTGGGCTCTCGGGAGAATGGTATGTGTGTCGGTGGCCCCACCGAGTTCCGAGGCGGTACCGTAATAGAGACACCCCTCGTGAGTGTGGGGTTGACAGTAGCAGCGACGGGCGTCGCTGTCCCTGACGGAGACTGGCCACGGGGCCGTTTATTCCGCTTCTCTGAAAGGAGTGAGTATTACCACCGTTCATACCGCTGCAGTCGCACCTGGTGGCACGGTCTCGGAAGCTCTCCGGAGAGCTATGAGGATATCGAGGCGTTCGAGCGTCTCTTCGATAGCTCTACGAAAATATTAATCGATGCCGCAGATCAAAATAAAGGGGAAGATGTCATACTGACTTTATGTCTTCTTGACCGATGCTCTGGAGCTCTTTGAGAGCAGCGGCAAGCATCTTGTAGTTACTCTTGACATAGCCGTAACCTTCAGCTGGCAGCGTATCATCGGTAGGCCACGTAGCTATGCCGCGATTTACGCGGCCGATGGTCTCGGCAGTCCGCTCATGGAGCTCTGCGAGCTTGGGCAGCGACTGGACTGTCTGCGTCCAGCAGTCGAGTTCTATAAGGCCGATGAGCAGCTCACTGGGGACAGGAGCGGAGGATGCTACGGCACCTTCGGAAGTTATAGGGCGCAAGGGCAGGCCTCTTCTGTTGGCCATGGCCTGTGCTTACCTCGTGCAAGATCTGAGCGGCGGATTTCTTGGTTCTGCGAAAGCCAGGACCGGATGGTCAGGTACGTTACAATGCAACGCTTTAGATGGACCGGCCAGAGTGCACGTGATCGCCACGTGGATGAGGCGCCACCCCGCCCACAGCGCATTCTTGCCCAGTCCGCCACTCTTCCTGCAGAGATAACCTCAGCCATGGGTGGGAACGCGTTTAGGACACTGCTCCCTGATGCCATATTTCCCCGCATGGATCCCGGCCTGTACGCTGAACTGAAGGAGCTTCTGACCTCCCGTCTCCAGACCGTGTATGCACTGGTCGCAGTCCCTCACGAAGCTCCAGACAAGAAGGATTTCGGAGACCTTGATTTCGTCGTCTGCCAGCCCTTTGACGGCCTGGTCCGGGAGGAAAAGCTGCGAACTGCCCTCGGCGCTCAGCACATCATCACCCACGGCAGCACGAGCAACTTGGCAATTCCTATGCAAGACAAGAATAGCTATTGCCAAGCGGACATTCAAGTCTGTGATGACAGCGATGACTGGCAACGCACTGCCTTTTTCCTGTCGTACGGCGACCTGGGCATGATTCTGGGCCTTCTGGCCCGCCCTGCCGGCTTGTCGTTAGGCAGACATGGCCTGAAGGTGTGCGTCGTAGTCTCATCAGATTTCTTTTACGCTGACCAGGGCTACCAGCTTGCGGACCCTTTGCCGACGTCGCCGCCGGTGTCCCTTCACCTCTCCTCGTCGATGTCGCACATATTGGACTTCTTCACGCTACCCATGGACCGCTGGCAGCAAGGCTTTTCGTCTGAAATGAACATATTTGTTTGGCTATCTTCGTCGCGTTTATTCAACACTGCAACGTTGCTCCGTTGTGAAGCCGTCAACACGTCCAGAGTGAAGGCTAGGGATGCTCGTCCCATGTACCAGAGATTCTTAGAATTCGTACGACGCCGAGAAACGTCACGCGAGCTGCCTTCCTCCACCTCACTCGCCTCAGAGGCAATCGATTTCTTCGGACAGAGAAATCTTTTCGATGTCCTTCTGCACATTGCTATCGTCAAGAAGCATATTCGTGACGTCTTTACGGGCACCCTCATACAGGACTGGACTGGTATCAGAGGCATGCCCGTTCGCTTTATCAAGGACGAGACAAAAGAGAGGCTTGGCGGCGAAGACAAGCTGAGCATCGTTGTGGGCATTCCCCTAGACTCTCTGCAGTCAGATGATATTCCTCCCGAGCATTTGACGCTGAGAGCCTGGGAATATGCCATGGCGAGAATGTCGGCGGACGGAGTGAAAACAATGGTGATGGAGGTTAAGGAGGAGCTGGATGCGGCAGGGAGACTACAGTACGATTGGAAAGCGGCGAAACAAAAGAAAGTAGAGCGGTAAATGCTTCAAGGGGAACGTTCCTCTGGTACTGGGATGTAATTTGTAGACTGCGCTGACAACATATACCTTGGGATTTGGAGAAACTGATATAAGGTGAACATATTCTTGTCTTTATGGGTGACCCGGCTCAGTGCTCTCGCTAGGCTGTGACTCTTAACAAATGGCAACCGGTCCTTGACTAGACAAACTTGGACCGTAAGCTGGCATGCGGTCTCACGTGTGGAGTCTCGGACGTTCCTTCCTTCCATTTAAGCGACAAGTTAGGCCCCTTCTGTGCTGTTCAGTACGTGGCCACGTCGCCAACTCGATGCAAGCCTTGATTCCGGTGTTGGCACTCAAGCGCTCCACCCAGTCAGTTATAGCCTTACACTACTGTTTAGAGCTGCCCAGATCTCGTTGAGGCCGCGACAGTGAATTTCAGCTCGGCGCTGCAGGTATCTTTTACATCTGCGGATATGCCGGTCTACCATCTAATAAACCTATCCCCCAGGATCTTAATCCTTAAACGGCTTAGCAGACTCAAACCTTAGCAGCATTCCGAGCCTTAGGAACTCTCTCACAGAATATCTTCATATTGTGATGGAAACGGGATTCCAGTACTTGCTGGCGGTCCGCCGACTTGATACCTACGGTATGATCTAAGTAAGCCTACCATGTCCTCCAGTCCGCCTCGGTCCTCAGCCTCACGATGCATATCAATGGAGAGATCCTCACACTCCACACACTAGGGCCGAATGACCCTACGAAATTATCGTGGCAAAGGTCTTCGCTTGCGGAGTGTGCGGACCGTGAGCCCCAATGAAAGCCGTGTCCCTGGTTATGCTCTAAGACAGTACCGTAGCGACGGCAGCCCCATACCGTCCGTATGATGCCACTGAAGTATCAGCCATCTCAGACACGAGGTTAGTGGGGATACCGTGGCGGTCCACCCGAGCGCGAAAGAGCTCAAGGTCGGCGAGCGTGTCGGCAGAGTATGGCAACGCGGCTATCGCGGCGAGTGTCAGCACTGCAAAAACGGACAACTGCTTGGTTGCAACAAGCTCGTGTACTTCAACACTGGTACGTCCCGGGTCTCTCGGTGTGCGGCGGTGCCGCTGACCCCGATATCACAATCAGGTGCCTTTTTTGACCGAGGCATCGCGCAGTTCTAAGAGTACCAGCGTCGAGCATCTGTCGCGTTCCCAAGGACGCAGATACTGCCGAGGCTACGCCTCTGGTGTGCGCGGGCATGACTGTATTTGGTAAGTATATCGTGTCGTCCCCAATGACAGCGCCCTGGGATCTTTCTACCTGGAGAGGGACTAGAAAGCCTGGACATCAAGTCAGAATCAATAGTGGCGATTCAAGATCTCGGGTAAGACAACATAGGCATTATTTCCACTCTACCACGATCGCCAAATCAACCCCAAGCGACAGGGAAGACTTTGCCCTGAAGCTTGGCGCCGACATACACGTCGACGAATCCTTTGCAAAACGTTGTGGAAGAGCTGCAGAAGCTTGGCGGCGTGGAAACTATTGTCAAGTTATTGGCGGCGGGCTCGCCTTTGAGGGCAAGCTGCTCGTGCTCTCGCTGCGCCTTGACGAACCACCTTCTAGCCAGGTACGCAAGTCATCGAGTCCGGATATCCCAACCTAACTAGAACGTGGAAGAAGGCCTACAGCATTTTCTTCGGCTGTTGCAGTTCGACTTAATGGGTCGTGTCACCATGAACACTGTTGTCAAACGACTCGAATCAAGAACTCGGCAAGGCATGACGTTAAGCTCTTATATCAGTTGAGAAGCCCCTTCTGTTCAAAACGGCGAAAGTACTGTTCAGAACTATCATCCTGCCCTGGGAATGGAGGATTGTGTGCAGAAATCATTCCATTGGCTCGAGAGAGAGAGCATCTCCCGTATCTTTAACCAGATGCCCTGAAAGTAAGTAACTACTTCCCTACTATTTGTTAACCCCTTACATAGTTCCCAACCTTGCCCTTTATATACCCAGCGCTGCATGCCCCTGATTAACCACAAATTTCCTGTTACTTCCGCTTACTCCACCCACACTAGTGCTTCAGTTTCAGCCTGTGTAACATGTAAGCACTACTACCTGAGGCACTGTGCTAGCTGCTTGTGCCCAAGCCGCCGCAGGCAGTGAGAACTATAAGGTTGCCCACGGAGTCGATAATTAAACACAAATGTAAACATATTTTTTCCAGAGCCTCACGAAATTGCTACCTGTGTCAGCAAACACCAACCAAAAGATGCCAGCCTCGAGAATAGCCGCCACGAAAACAGCTACCGGGGGAACACTAATCACGTAGCGGAGCGAAGCCGTCTCCTGTAACGTCTAAATATATTTAACGAGATTTATACTGGCCCTGTAATTTGTCCTCATGTCGGGACATGTGCTTCTATCCATGAAATGATGTCTTCCAAGCTCCGTTCTGCAACGCCGTCGGCGTCATTGAAAAGGTCGTGACAAGCACCCTTTGTGGTATAGCGGTCAAACTGGTGTACGATATCGCGGAGTATCTCATGTACATCATATGGAATAAACTTCTTGTCTCTCGCCAAGATGTTATCGAAGAAATCTCTCGACTTCTTCGAGCAGTTTACCTGTATTTCTTTCTGGTTAAGGGCGCTGCGAAAGGTCTTCGGTGCACATACCTCGTGTGCTGTTCAGTGAAGCACTAAGAGCTGGGATGCCATCTCATGAGTATCGAATAAATCGAAGCATAGGCACGACGACGAACAGGAAGATTCTCTGGCCAGTATTTCCACTGACAGTCATCTCAAAGTCATTCTGACTAAGCACAGGGTCAGAAGTTGCAGCTTGTACGGGGAAAAACAACGGCGTACACCGTAAAGCATGTCATACAGACCCCTCAGCGTACCCTCCGGTCGTCGGAGAGGATCATTCTTCACTGCTATCACTTTCTCAGGTATCCTCGAGAAGCGCTAATAATCACGGAATCAGTCCACGGTTGACGCGCTGAGCAAGGAACGCCGTCACCTCTTCAGCTTCAGGCCTTCAGGCATCGGTGCAGCAAGTTTCATGTTCGGCACAAGGGCGCACAAGGGCTTCGCCAGAAATTTTATCCAGTTTGCCTTCGGGTTGGGATAAGTCAGGTAGATATGAGGCGAACAGCATATAACGCCAGATAGTTTTGCTACTGTCTCAACCTTCGGCGGTGCCCGCCGGCGTGTTGCGAAACTGAATACCAGACTTCCGCTCTGATACGAGGGTGTTGTAAGCATAATGTCCAGACGTGAAGAAAAACCAATGTGTCGACGCGTCGCCGAATAGCCTGTAAGGAACAAAGGCACGCCAGGATGCCGCTGAGCCAGATACTCCAACCAGTGCTCGACATCCGACAACTCAAGTTCATGGTTTGTCTTGCCATACGATGCGCCTGGGCTACGATGTTCCCGGTCTAGCGCCGTTCTCCCAAATCCCCGCTTGTCGTACGCGAAGACCGCAATACCGCGCTGTGCGAGAGCAAGGAGATGTGCACGGCGTCCTGCGGCAGGCGCGACGACGTATATATATATACCACTGCAACGTGCTGCATAAGTATTCAGGGCTAAGAGGTCACGGCGACTACGGCAGTGATCTCAAGCATGTCTCAGACTGGAAGAGACTGGAGCATTTAAGTACTCCCGTTTGGCTGGACCGACATCACGCTTCCGGTACCCACCACATCCCACTCGGCTGTCTGTCTCGAGGGGTGTTTGGGATCTATTCGAGTCGGTTTGCTCTGTAGAACTGTGGGACATGGTCATTGCAAAGGGTGGGCGGGTGCAATTGGGCAACTGTTGTTTCAAATCCCGAACATCGATCAGGACTGGACGTTACATTGAACGCCCGATTTTCAAGCTGGATGATGCTGTCTGCCTAGCAGGAAGTAGGACAAGGATGCTCATGTCAATGCATGCATGTAACAAAGTAAACGCTGGGTCCCGGGGGGCGCGGGGCGGAATGCAATGCGACGCAGATCGCTGGCACAGCCATTATCCTGTATCTCAAACGGAGAACGTTTGTAAACGGCAGCATTCATGCGACGACATGGCGCGCCACGGTATTCTCCTTCATTGAAAGGACAAGGACATGGCAATGCGAGGAAGAGGGCTCAACTACGGTACATGGAAGTAATCATGGTGGACGTTGGGTAGCTGGAAGTTGGCGTACTCGTAGCGGGAAACTCGAGAACAAGAAGGCACTGTTTTGGGGGAAAACTGTCAAGTGAGGTGGCATTCCCGCGCGCCTTAGAAGCTTTCGGAGGCACACAAGGTTGGAGTTATCACGACTTGATCATGGATGGCAGTGCAGCCTGCGAACGTCTTCTCAACGTTCTGAGTCCATTCACAGGCTTGGAGAGGTGTCTCTGGGAGGGATTTGTCGGGTGTTGAGGTAATGAAGCAGCAACGCTAGCAATATAGCAAGGTAAGATGTCCGTGTTCTGCAACTGCGGCAACCCTGACGGGGAACATGGATGGCGGTGCCTGTGAGGAGAGGCGGGATGGGAACAGTAGAAGCACTGATGGAAATAGCCATAAAGGGAAATTCTCGGCGCTCGATGGGTGTTTCATCGCTTTAGTCTGTGCTCATAACATCTTCGCCCTCGTCTTCATCTCTCCTCGTCCCTCCTCTCACCCTCATAACCCGCTACCGCTACTGGCCCTGCGATGTCCGACCCTTCCCAAGAACTACCTCCGTCCCTCAACCTCCCAGCTCATCTCTCGGCACACAAATACTTCTTCGTTTGTACCCTCACCGTCGCCGCCTGGGACACTCTCGTACTCTCCCCACGATCATGGCGTCTCCTTCGTACTAAGGAGTGGCCGTTCCTCAAGATCGCTTACCACTTCCTGCGGGTATTCATGCCACTCGAGTTCACCGTTGTCGGAGTGGCATTCTTTGATACCAAGTGGTCCCTCGAGGTAAGTTTTCTCTCAACTCTGCCATCGGATCTTTTGTCTGCGAGCATCTGCGCGTGGTGTACCACCTTGTCCGTGTCCAATATCGTGGTAGGCGACGACACTTCCGTTATCGGTCGGTGTCTATAGGCGCCTCCGTGGCACCGGCCATGCCGTGTTCCACGGCATCATGATTCTGCCGCCGAGACACATTAGCAGTGGAGTGGTACTGATCCTTCTCTTGTTCTCTAGACCTGTTCCCACTTCTTCCTTTTCGAGCCCATCTGCACCGCGATACTGCTTGCGGTTTGTTCGGCCGTTCACGTTATTCGCATCCATGCCATCTACGACAAGTCTCGCAACGTGCTTACCGTCATGGGCGGTCTTTTCGCTCTTCAAATCATAGTAACGGCCATCTGCTGCGGCTTCTATCAAGGTAAGCTGACATAGCTGGTAGTCATAACCCGAAGACTGATTTACACACCATTTAGTGACACCGCTCGAGGTTGGTCAGGGTTGCATCGCGTCGCCCAAGCACAACTGGGTTGGCCTCTATTGGCTCTCCGCCACCCTCCTGTACACCGCTTCCCTCGTTCTCGCGCTCCGGCGCTCCTTCCGTTCTTTGAAAGACAAGCCAATCTCTTATTGGAAGCTTATGCTCCGTGACGGTTTGAACCTCTACGCCGCTATCTGGGCCGTCAACATGGTCAACATGCTCTTCTGGTTTATTGTCAAGCCTACCGGCCCCGATGACCCCATCCGTGTCATTGTCACGAGCATGGCCGCAGTTCTAACCACCTCGATGACACTCCGCATCATCCTCGCTGTCCGCGGTTCGCTCGCCAAGGGCGGCGCCTTCGCAGGACGTTCCGGTCATGCACAGTCGCACCCATCCACCCACGTCGTCTCGCGTCCAGCGCCGCAGAGTGGCCCCATTCTTAGCTTGCAGCACCCACAGCAGCAAACGTACACTGTCGGTCTTGCTGCGGAGCCCAAGGCTCACGACTGGACGGACGACAAGGAAAGCGAGCAGATTGCGGAGGTCAAGGGAGACGACGTGTACCCTATCGAAGAGGGCGGTACCCCTACGCAGGAGGAGGGTCCCAAGGGCGTGAAGATCACTATCGACACTGAGACGGACTACGAGGGCTTTGCTAAGAAGTAAGATATACGCACTCGAGACCAGGGTATCAATGATCTCTCTCTCATCCTTAATATCCTCTCACGTGAAATTGAGCCCGCTTCAGCGTTCTTTGTCATGTTCTGGTATTTATAGCACGGTTTATGTTCATAACCCTCACGTTAACTTGATTGCTGGATCCACTCTCCGTGCGCTGTTATAGTTTACTGTTCTATTCGTCGGTCTTGGCTTCTTGACCTGTAGGTGCTTGGTGATGGCATGTACCTTCTAGATCTATTTCCGTATGACTATTTACGTTGATGAGGGACTCATGATGCGCAGCGTCTCACGGTGAATGCCTCAGGGAGTGGTTTAGTGAAGAGTAAAGCTCTGCTTGCAGTTGCAAGAAACGCTACATCTGAGATCAATCGGGGTAGGTTCCAACAAGCAAGTGTTGTGGCGCAGCTTGGTTGGTCTCCGTTCGATTAGTAGTAGGATACACCTGTGCACGAGTAGCTGCGTCTTTATTTAGAACGACACCTATCCCAAGTATCCGTCTGAAGATATCGCCCAAGCGCGTTGATACTCTATCAACGCTGCAAGTATTGTACACATGATCGCCGACCTGGCGAGACAATGGAGCATAGAATGTCTGGATCAGCACCTATGCCTTCGCAGGCCCCGATGTTGAGTTGTGGTTTTGTTGCCGTGAAATGACGCAGCTGAAGGCTCCCATCGCGGTCTAGAGGCGAACACTTCTCCAGGGCCGACAGCGCCCAGTAATTCGATATAGGATATCTGCATGTCCAGGGTCATCTCAAGGTCGGACAGCCATTGTACTCCTGCCCAAGACCTGCGATGAGACGCCGGTAGGAATCCGAGTCGTCGAGGCCGTTGCGCGGGATTGAGCAGTGGCCAATCATACGCCACGGAGGCGGTACCCGGTACGTCAATCTGTTGACTATCTCAAGAACAGGGTACTTGATGCCAGTGCGGTACTCTTTTATTAGAATCACATCTGGAAAGCCTTCTGCAATAACGCGTCCTCGTCGCATACAATTTGCATCCTGCTCCTGGAATCCGGCGCCACGGTCTCTTCTGCAGGCCCTTCACGACTCCCGCACTCACGAACTCCGGTTCGGACGGCGGGGGAACACAACCTGTTTGGTCCAATAGGTTGTGCTGTGCGGTTTCGGTTGAAATGCCAGCCGTGTTACCTGTCATGAAACTGTCCGCGTCGGATATCATGGTACTCTTGGCACTCTACCTCCGAGAGGGTCCGTATGTGCTCTTGCAGGGTTCTGCACGTCGCTGCCATGGCAGCGATGTTTGTTCGGTAAGAGTGTGCTTCAATTGACAGCTGCACTTGTAGCGCGTCGATCTGCCGTTTCAAGCCGGAATCATGTAGACCATCTCTTGCCAGCCACGTGAGACGTGCAGAGAAGACTTACTCCAGATTTGACCTTCCTGATAGTAGTCCGACCTAAGACAAACCCCGCCATCTCGTTGAGACTTGCTGCTGTAAACACCGGAAGCGCAATGAGAAGTGCTGTTTGCATTGCCCTTACGACGAGTACATGCTGCGTTGAATTACCGGTAGCGAGCCATAGCAATTACGGTTGCAGAGGTGTCCCAAGCACAATTGATCTAGACATCTTTGTCGCGCGGGTAACAGCAAGGCTATACAGACTCGCACGATACTTACACGAGCGGGGTATAGAACAAGTGTTCTGGGCTTAGAGCGATGAGACTAGACTGCTATACGTAAACCACATGCTAGACATCTCCTGAGCTCACAACAAGTCGGACCGATGTATCGAAGACCGCGACAAGATACCACTATCCAAACACCTACTTGTACGTAGCAAAGGAAATACAAAAATAGGTGAGCTGCAGAACTTCCAGTAAACCATTCTCAGCTGGAGGCCCGGAGAAACAAGTCTACGACGACAACATCAGCGTACACTAGATAATAGCCTACGACTCTATCCTGGTGTTGAAACGGCGCTGGTCTTGGTTCATGATAGGCCAGTGCCACAGAATACCACGTCCATAAGTCTATCTGAATAGGTGCCTAATTTCGCTCCGGCATCGTTCCTCGCTCACCTAGGGACGATAAAGTTCCATCGTGAAGTGCTTTGCAAGTATGTTGCTGGGTCTACGGTCGAGAGCAACACGCCTGGGTGATGTGTACTGCGGGAGCTGTAGAGCGCGATCTAGCTTTTTCAGCGCTGTTGAGCGGCCGGAAGTGGTATAAGTTGGGTGCCTCTCGAGGCAGATATAGAGGTCATAGAGAAAGGTGCAAGACGGTGCTGAGAAAAGGCGCGCTGTATCTACTAATGGTGGTGAATGATCCGGAATGAACAAATGTAGAGTGCGCAAGTGGGATATAGTGAACAACGCGCCACTAACTGAGGTCCCCCTGTGAGCGCATTACACCAGTACGCAACCAGATGCACTTACTCGCGCTGGGATAGAGATCTGGCGAGAACTTGAGCGCCGCGAACATAAGACTGTCGACGCTGGATCGATGGATGGATTCCACTGACGCCATGACCCGGTCTGTAGGAACCGACATCCCGCTGAAATTTTGCGACTGTGAGAGTGCTGGCAGCTCCCGATTGCACGAGCTAGGCAAACAAGGCTGTCTTCCGAGTATCCAATACCCACTCTTCGTTGGTCTCAATGAAGAGAGTGGAAAGGCGTACAAGAGTTTGACGTGGGTGTGTGAAGGGGCTACCGGAACTAAATCTAGGGACCCAGAGCGTCTTGAAGGTACTTGAGCTGCGTTAGGGACGATAGCATCTGAGTGACATCCCCTACCGAATGGAAGGTAACATTTCTTGACGACGAATGAAGTAAGAGAGCGGTGCTGGCGAATCATGACACGAAAGGCAGGAGTGATGTAGAGGCCGCCATCCCGTAAACACAGATGCTTGAGCTTGGGAGCCAAGGTGGCAGGCTGGTGTGAGACAAGGTGTAGTCGGGGGACGTCGCGCCGAGCTTGGCTTCCTGTGATGTCATGAACGAAGGTCCGCGGGGACGAATTGCTCTGCAGCATTTTACTGATCATCCCGATCGTCCTGTGGGCCGCAAGCCACTGCCGCTGAGGTGGAAGATGATGAGCCTTACATCCGCAGTGACCATTTTGAATACTTACCACAAAAAAACACAAGTCGCGAAGGAGCTTGTGAATCGCTCCTATTGCCAGGCCTCGTCTTATAAACCTCCTAGCTTGGCGATGCTTCAAGGTTTCGCGATCAGGAAGCATGTGCTCTGGTTTCACCAGTGCAAGCCCCGCTGGAGCCGCGCATGCGCCGTGGCTAAGCCTAGTATCACAGATTATTTTAATCATGGAAGAATACTGCAGCATGTCTATCACGACAAGCATGCTCGGCTCAATGGGTCAAATGAGCGCGTTACGGACATAGTAATATCGCAGAAGACTCACACCGATGCCAGAACCGCATGGTTCCTGAACTAGCTGGGGATTATCCTCTGCACAGACATCGCTATGTTGCATGTGTGTATCCTGAGAGTTTGGGATAACGCATTGCGCTTCGGCACTGCGCAGATACTTAGCTGGGTTAATACGCGATCGCATCCCACGATATTTCCTGAGAGGCAATCAATGTCCTGAACCCGTATCGATAGCTATCATTCGCCCAGTACACGCAGCAGACTATCGCGCATATTTTCGTCGAGTCCTTTACCAATGAACACCAGCTTTCCCGCTTCCAAGCCTAAATCGGATTCGTCGACAGCGGGCGAGATCTCGTACAGGCTCCGCACACCCTGCAAGACGTAAGTGGTGCCTGCTGAGGTCTGAAAAATACCTTTGCAGCGTAAGACGGTAATGCGCTGCGACATCGAAACGGAATCTTCCGGTAAACGGCCGTCCCAGAGAAGCGTTCGAATCCATTCATCTATGCGGTCGAAAGTTTCCTGTGGGAGCACGGGTACCGAGACCTGCAGACTCGAGATTCCGCGCAGTTCGTAATGATGGGGGTGCTTGTGCTTAGTACCCTTGCAACACCCGTCACAAGGCTCGCTTGGATGATGTTCTGTGTGGGCAGGGCAATCTGCCACGAGAGACCTCGACTTTGATGCGTAAGCATCAATACCCATAATGTGCTTCAAATCGATGTTCCCCTGCGCTGTTCGATGGATGATCGCAGCCGGATTGACCTGAGCCATAAGCTGTTCAAGTTCTGTGGCTCGTGCAGGCGTCACCAAATCGGCCTTGTTCAGCAGGAGAACGTCCGCGCAGGCAATTTGTCTGAGCAGGTATCAGCCCGTGTATGAGATCTGCGGTACACGACAAACCTCAAACTTTCGCCAATGCCATCCACGGAGTGATCCTCTTCCATTTGCTGCGCATGCGGTCAGCAGATGCACCATGTAACGTAACAGGATGCTTACTTGGCGGCCGAATACGGCATCCACCATGCATACAACCCCGTCAAGATGTATGTACTGGCCGAGGCCCGCAGAAAACTCTTCGTTTTGCCAAAACAGGGACGCAATTGGACCTAGGCGATTATTAGCAAGTTCCAGCTGGTAGCAGGCATTCGACCGGACCTGGATCGGCTAGACCAGTAGTCTCAAGCAAGATATGGTCGAACGCGCCTTTCCTTTGCATGAGTTTCTCGATAGCAGCGACACCAGAATCTTTGATACTGCAGCAAAGACAGCCGTTAGCGAGTTCAAGGATCTCTTCCGACGTCTCCGTAGAGTCATTTGCCGAAGAGACATTGATGGTCTTGGCTGGAGTCCTTGCAGTCAGTCAAGACGGAGAACCAATTCTTTGGCATTTCGAACCTTCGATGTCCTAAATAACTTAAGTGCACTTTTCTGGAGCTTTAGAAGGCATTGATACCCACAGCGGTGTCTCCAAAATCGTTCATTATCACAGCTATCCGGTAGCCATGTCTCTCGGAAAGAATACGTCTGCTTTAGAATGAGTTCAAGATAAAAGCAAGGAATTCGCTGGAGCGCACCGAATAAGAGTCGACTTTCCAGCCCCCAGGAAGCCGCATATGATGGTAAGAGGTACTGTCTTGTCCTGGTTGCGAAGTACAACAGCTTCGTCTGTCTCAATGAGGGTCCTAGAACACCATCAGTAGCCACCAACAAGTGTGAGCGATCCAACATACGGGATATCATCTCCGTCCATGATCACAAACAGCCGTGTAGTTGTAGTATGCTGTAGAGGCGGAGGAAGAAGGCGCTCGCCGCTGATGAACGCGTCCTCCATCGACGCGCGTGGCGAGCCTATGCCACAAGCGCACGCCGGCACTTCCTTCCTGATTCTCACCTCGCCTCCAGCCCGTGGGCCATATACCCCCATAGCTTCACCAACTTGTCTCAGATTAGCTCTAGACAAGTAGCGCACACAATGCAGACCGCCTCAGACCCCAACCAGCAGCAATTTACCCCAGACCAGCTCCGCGATCTCATCCAAGGACCGGGTGAGGAATGGACGTGCGTCGTGCTTGGGCCGTGTGTGGCGTCGGTACGCTTACGATCCCAGGACAGGTATGAAATGCGTAGGCAATGCCAGGAAATTCTCCCGGGGCTCTTGCTTGGACCGATGCAAGCCTCCAAAGACCCGGACACGCTCAAGTCGCTTGGGGTCACCCACATGTACGCTCGGGAACGATTTTATTCCTCTGTGTGTGTGTGTGTGTGTGTGATCGTATTTTCACAGAGTGTGTATACGGGATGCTAAAGAAGCCTTCTCCGTGCGCCCACGGTTTCCGGACCAGTTCCACTATCTCGTGCTCGACGTCCAAGACAGCGAAGAGCAGAATCTCATCAGACTTTTCCCCCAGTATGCCTGCCTTCTGCTATCCCAAATAAACTCAATACCCATCCTAGCCTGTATTAGAGCAAACCAATTCATTGATCAAGCTATCATACAGGGTGGACGCGTGCTTGTCCACTGTAACGGTACGCCCCTCAGGAGGCTTCCTGTCCCGCACCCTGCTGAACAAAATACAGGCGGTATAAGCCTGTCACCCGCATTTGTTGTAATGTATGTCATGCAACGCCTACAGATCACATGGGAAGACGCGCTGCATATGGTGCAGAACAGGCGGTATTGCATTTCACCGAACGGAGGTTTCTTGACGCAGATCAAGGTGCGCCTTCAGTATGACTGACCTGTCCTGACAAGCTAATAGTGACCTGGTGTAGGAGTACGAATCAATATATAAAGCAAGTCTCGCAGTGCGAAGCTTTCCGCAGCAAGGCAGTGCGAATACGCGGAGGAAGCGTGCAGATGACAGTGACGAGGAAGAATCAGCTCGGTACGTTCTAACTATTTGTCACTAAAAAGTTGCGGCTATAACTTATTTTGAAGCGTCGAGGATCGTAAACGGCAGTTAGTCGATGACGATGACGATGCGATGGAGATGTGATATTTTACCATCTGGTACCACTATCTTCTGTTTCCAATATCAGTATTGGGTTCTGGCCTCTGTACTCAGCCACTCTTAACTTATACGCTTTGTATGATGTAGCTTGCACATTTGGCTCTAGTATTATGGTATATTAAGCGTGACGTACGTCGCTATCTTGCCGTCTAAATGCTTTTGATCTTAGCTTTCTCCTTCTCCTGTATGACGCGCTTCGCGTGGACGTCTGTGGGAGCCATCATGCTCAGGAGGTTCGGTGCACTGATTACTTTCAAAGAACATACCTCTACGCTTCACCCATGCCTCAACCGAGATTCCTGCAAACACCACTGCCGTTCCGGCCCACTGGCCAGGTGTGAGTTTGTGGTTGTACACCACAACAGAGAGGAGCATCGTAAACAGCTTCCTTGTCAGCGTGATCGTCCTGTAAAGTGTCGTCAGGATATATTATCCCGGTACAAATAATGGTCATGCGCATACACGAGTGTCAGCGACCCAAAATGCTGCAGCGTCTCGAATATGAAGAGCTGTCCCAGCGCGCCAGTAACGGAGAACTGAACGAGCGGTACGACGATGGACGGGTGATCGCGTATGAATGCCAGCGCGCCTTCAAGCTCGGTGCGACTATGCGATGGGTGCAGTACGGGAATGTAGGGCAAAGGTAGCACAGAGATGAGGGACGTGAGCAATGTACAGAAGAGGTTGATCCAAAGCATCATCTGCTGTCCAGAGACGCGGAACCGAGAAAAAATCTCGTCCTGCGTGGAATTTGTCGCACCGTCGATGGCAAGGTTGATGAGCAGGTATGTGATACCGATAAGTTGTGTGTACATGGAAAGCGGTGTGTCGCCAGCCTTGGATTTGGATGGCTTCTCTTTGCCGAACCCCATAAACATCGTGATACCAAGTGTGACCATTGCGACGACTAGGTACTTGTGAGGCGCGAACTTGCGACGATAAAGCAGCACGTTCATGATCATGACAGGCACGAGTTTGCAGGACTTGCCGAGGACCATTGCGGGGTAAGTGATGTACGATAGGGCGGCGAAGCCGAAAGGCGCGGCAGAGGTGATGAAAACGGCACACTGAAAGTAACGCAGCAGGAGAGACCTGGTCGAATAGCGAGAGTCGGGTCGGCTAGAGCGGGTATGTCCGTTTGTCTTTGCGTCTCCGTTTGGCTTCACACTCGCGTTTGCGTGATTTGCCGGCTGAGTATCGAGACCAAGCAGCTGCACAAGGGGCTGTCCAGATTTCCGGAGGAAGAGGAGGTAAAAAATGGCAGATAATGAGCTCATCGCGCTCTGGCATGTGCTCATGAAGAGAGGAGACTTGAACTTTTCTTTCGAGCCGTCAACTATTGATTCAAAAGGAACTGAGACTGTACGGTATGAGCAATGACGAGATAAGCATAAAGTTATGTAAACTCACGTCTCTCTTGAGCTATCGCCCATATCTAGGAGGCACTCAATGAGCCCGTGACAGATGAGACAATACCCTGGCACTGACGAGAAACATAGAGTAGACGCCTAAAACGCATAGTCCCAACCTACACCACGTGTGAGCAGCAAAGAAAAGCTATGGTTACATTGCGCACCGTATGAGCGACATCCTATGTGCGAGGGGGAAGACGGACGGTCGTGGACGGACGAGAGAACGTGTATCTTGGGCCGGGATACGTGTCAGTATAGAAAATAGGCGTCTATATCGTACCGATCGACATGAGACGCGACCAAAGAAGCACGTGACCTACGGCGGTAGCAAGTGCTGCTCGCCATCGCGAGATCGTTTGCCGAAGAACCAGAATCGTGAGCTTTACTGAATGCTCACTGACATACCCAGCCATAGCTGCGCTTTTATCGGCTGCCCTGTTATCATCATTATGAGCACACCTCGGCGGCGGGCAGCAAGGTCCAAGGATAGTGCTGAGACTCAGCTGAACAGCGACAAAGTCCCGCTAAACAGCCCTGGTCAGCACATGCTTATATCCATTGGATTTCCACTTGCTCATCACAGACGCAGCACGAAAGAATCCGCGGTTTCGCCGGATCCTCCTAGCAACCTTGGTCATTATTTCACTATGTATCTACGTTTACTGCAAGGCCTTTCTCTTTCACAAGTGGCAGCCGGAAGAACAACACGTACCATTCACAGTAGTGGACATCCCCGGTAAAGGCAAAGGGGCAGTTGCTACACGAGACATACCGGTGTGTATTGAATGCGAATGCTCGCTTAATTGCTAATTGTATTCAGCAAGGAGAGTTGATTTTCCGAGAAAGGCCTCTCTTCATATTGCCAGCACAAGGTACGCCTGCCGGCTCCTAACCGCCGTTGCTGGACTTATGCTACTCATAGTGTCTGTCCGAGGGTCTCCAGGCTCCGTGATCCTGTCCGCGCTCGCGAGCCTTTCCCCGCGTCAGCACGATGCATTTTACAACCTCTCATATGTCAATTTTCCTGATCACGTTGTCCCCAACATGCCATCATACCACGAGGAGATGGCTCTGGCCATCTTCCAAACCAACGGCATCTCCGCTGCAGATGACGGCGTGGGACTCTTCCCCTCGACTGCACGCCTCAACCATGGCTGCTCCGGAGCGTTCAACGCAGTTTACAACTGGCGTCCGTCTGAAGCTACTTTGGTAGTCCATGCACTTAAAAACATTAAAGAAGGCGAAGTGAGTCTCGGGCTCCTACACAGCTTGTGCAGGCTAAAGGGACCGATCGTGCATCCCAGGAACTGCTGACCACATATCTCGATACCAAGCGATCGCGGGACTCCAGAAGGTGGGATCGTAAACGCGCACTGCGGAATTTACTAATGAATACACCTTGGTGCAGGGAGATCCTTCGTGCTCACTACGGATTCACATGCCAGTGCAGCGTCTGTTCACTACCCGATGGCGAGTCCGAAAGGTCAGATGACCGGCTCCGGAAGATGGTAGAACTCTACGCGCGGCTGAGAACATGGCAAAACGGCTCGCTGAGCGGTAAGCAAGCTATCGACATCGTGCGGCAGATATGGGCCATCGGAGAACAAGAAGGCTACTGGAGCGAGCGCGGACAGCTCGCATATGACGCTACCTGGGTTGCGGCCGCGCACGCCGAGTAAGTCATCATTACTCTGACGGCGGCGCGCCTTCAATTTGACAAACGGCTCCTACATAGCCGGCAGGCGACGCGCGCATGGGCTAAGCTCGCAAAAAAGTGGTACGCGATTGAGCTTGGGCCGGACAGCGAGCATGCGAGAAAAATAGACGAGGTAGTCACTGACCCTGAAAGCCTGAGGTACAAGATGAGTACGACGAGGAGACCTGAGAACGTGGGGCTCCCCGATACGCGGTTGGGCTGACGTTGCGACGAGTGTCTTGGGTGAATCATGTTTGTTACGCTAGTCACGGAGTACCACAAGGGATTTACAGCGACTCCAAGAGGGTCCCGAGTGAACACGGGAAAGCAGTGCTTTGACACGACAGGCACTGCGTTCGGCGCCGGGTTGAAGTGCGCACTCACGGCCGGCGGCCGACACAGGCACACGCACTGCGCGCCGCTGCAACAATGCAGGCGACAAGGAGCAAGGCGAGCGAAAAGCTGAACGTAGTGGAAACGAAGGCCGCATCGCTTCGTGTGTTTGTTTCAGAATGCGAGAGATGAAACAAAGGTTTTATCTCCACAGACGGAGGGAGAGTTAGAGCGAGGACAAAGCTGTGCTGACTAAGCGCTTATTGTGGATGGAACCATTTCTGGCGCGGATACTCAGGCTCTCCCACATTTATATCTTAATCCCCATCCCCATCCTCCTCGCCTTCCTTTCCTTCGTTGTTCACTGCTTTCGACGTTCTCGCCCTTGGTCAGACTTCTATCTACTTCTGTCGGCACAATGGCCGCCTCTTCGTCTGCGGACGTCATCGTTCTGTCCGTCGGCATCGTCCTCGCTGCGCTCTATCTCTTCCGCGAGCAGCTCTTTGCTGCGTCAAAGCCCAAGTCTGTCCAGGTACCCTCGTCAAAAGCTTCCGCCGCTACTGCTGCTTCCGGCAATGGAAATCCTAGAGATTTTGTCGCAAAGATGAAAGAAGGGGTACGCTTCCTGCTATCTTCGAACCTTGTCACCCGTGCTGATCCCATGCCACGTATCATTAGAAAAAGCGCATCGTCATCTTCTACGGCTCTCAAACTGGCACTGCGGAAGAGTACGCTATTCGTCTCGCGAAGGAGGCAAAGTCCAAGTTCGGTCTGGCCTCGCTCGTATGTGACCCCGAGGAATACGACTTCGAGAACCTTGACCAGATTCCTGAGGACTGCTGCGTCTTCTTCGTCGTGGCTACTTACGGTGAGGGCGAGCCCACGGACAACGCAGTGCAACTCTGCCAGAACCTGCCGGATGAGTCTTTCGAGTTCTCGAATGGCGAGCACAAGCTTCCCGGTCTTAAGTACGTTATTTTCGGTCTCGGCAACAAGACATACGAGCACTACAACATTATCTCGCGCAATATCGATCGTGACCTGGAGAAGATGGGTGCTACCCGCATTGGCGAACGTGGCGAGGGTGACGACGACAAGAGCATGGAGGAGGATTATCTAGAGTGGAAGGACGGCATGTGGGAGGCATTTGCCAAGGCCATGAACGTAGAGGAAGGCCAGGGCGGCGACTCGCCCGACTTTGCCGTAACCGAAGTCTATGATCACCCGCAGGAGAAGGTCTACCTTGGTATGTCCGTCTCCATACCGCACTTGAACCACTAAATCGACTCGATGACTCAGGCGAGCTGTCTGCTCGGGCTCTCACACGTACCAAGGGCATCCATGATGCAAAGAACCCTTATCCTGCGCCCATCATCGCTGCTAAGGAGCTCTTCGCCCCTGGTGCGGATCGTAACTGCGTCCACATCGAAATTAGTACGGAGGGCTCGGGTATCACTTACCAACATGGAGACCATCTCGGTGTTTGGCCGTCTAATGCGGATAAAGAGGTCGACCGCCTTCTCTACGCTCTCGGGCTGTATGAGAAGAAGGACACCGTCATCAACATCGAGTCGCTCGATCCTGCTCTTGCCAAGGTTCCGTTCCCGGTTCCGTCCACCTATGACACTGTCCTTCGCCACTACATCGACATCAGCGCTCTCACAGGCCGTCAGATTCTGGGTGCGCTTTCGAAGTTTGCGCCGACGCCCGAAGCGGAGTCAACTCTCAAGGACCTGAACGGCAACAAGGAGCGCTATCAGAGTATCGTCGCCAATGGGTGCATGAAGCTCGGCGAGGTCCTTCAGTACGCTGCCGGCAACGACCTCCATGCGGCCCCGAACGCTTCGAACACTACGGCTTGGACTATCCCTTTCGACATCATCGTCTCCTCCATTCCGCGTTTGCAGCCTCGGTTCTATTCGATCTCGTCCAGCCCCAAACTGTACCCGAACTCCATCCACGCTACTGTCGTCGTCTTGAAGTACAAGTCCGATCGGGCTCAACGTGTCGACTCCCGCTGGATTTATGGTGTTGGTTCCAACTTCTTGCTCAACCTCAAATACGCCTCGCACCACAATAAGACGCCGCCTCTCGTCAGCGATGAGTCCAACGAGGAGCCTTCCCTTGTGTCGCATTACCCTACCTATTCTATTGAGGGTCCGCGCGGAGCATACAAGCAGGACGATATTGTAAAGGTTCCCATCCACGTCCGCCGCTCGACGTTCCGTCTGCCGACGAACCCGAAGAGCCCAGTCATTATGATTGGTCCTGGCACGGTACGCATAGTAGATCGTCTGTCGATGTAAAATTCTCATCATGCTCTTAGGGTGTTGCGCCATTCCGCGGTTTCGTTCAGGAACGTGTTGCTATGGCCCGGCGCACTATCGAGAAGAACGGCCCTGAAGGTCTCGCAGATTGGGGACCAATCCGCCTCTACTTCGGCTGCCGCTACTCTAACCAAGACTTTTTGTATAAGGATGAGTGGCCGGAGTACGCCAAGGAGCTCCATGGCAAGTTCGTCATGCGCTGCGCATTTTCCCGTGAGCCGCCGTACAAGCCCGACGGCGGCAAAATCTACGTTCAAGACCTCATATGGGAGGATGCCGAGCAAATTGCGGATGCGATTCTCAACGGCAAGGGTTACGTCTACGTTTGCGGCGATGCAAAGAGCATGAGCAAGAGCGTCGAGGAGACCCTATGCCGCATCCTTGGAGAGGCTAAGGGTGGCTCGGCTGAAGTGGAAGGCGCAGCAGAGCTGAAGCTTCTCAAGGAGCGCAACCGCCTGCTGTTGGATGTCTGGTCATAAATTGGACCACGTATATCGCATGCAATGGGATTTGGCCACTCATAGATGAACTTAACCAGTTATGACGTTGGTCTCTGGGCGTGTGTCACGTACTGTGTAGATTTTATATGCATCAATACCTTACAATAGATTGTAGTTGTCTCTCCGACGAGCGTTCTGCTGTTGGTCCTATACCTATGTGATAGGAGACTGAAGGTAAATGCGCTATCAGGAACCTCGTGGCTCATGCTTGGAGTACGTTCAGGATGGGACATACAACGTGATCTCTAGGTGCACATAATGCGCCACAAGATGGGCGCTAGTTGGGTTGAAAACCTAACCGTCGGGCGGCGAGATCGAACAGGACGTCCACTACCAGATTGCCTGAGCTAATAAATGAACTGTCAGTTCAAGTGAATGCACTCTACTCATTCTGTCATTTATGAGAGCTCTCGTCTCCTGCCCTCTGAGTGCCGCGTGTTTCAGGTCTTTTGTGGCACCGATATCCGAGGATAGACGTAATATGCTTTACATGGGAAGACCCGCTTTGTTGAGTGTCTTTCAGCTACAGATGACGAGGAACCAACCACTGAGTAGTCAATAGTACATAGCCTTGGATGAATTTCCCCGCATGAGATGGCACCGCTGTGGAAATACTCTCTATCTTTGCCCGCCTGAGGATGCTTCAAGCCGTGATTCAAGAGAGGAGGCGGAAGCCATTACTCTAAGCAACTCCAAGCATTCACTCGACGTGGCTTTGTCCTCGACTGATGACATCGCTCTCACCGCTGAGTCGCGGTCTCCTGAACTCGCCAGAAAGTTGCGCAGGGCCATGGAAGTAAAATTTGATACAACTAGCGGACGATGTTAGGGCGAAACAAGCTACAATCTCAAGACTCCGCAAATTATTACGAATATATTAAGAAGAGGCGCGTCGTGGAAGGTCGTGGAAGGTCGTGAGGGTCGTGGATAATCGTAATCGTCGTTAGAAAAGGAAAAGAATGTCGGAGTAAGCTGTCGCATGCAGAGTTACGTCTGTGCCTTTGCTTTTACGTCTGCCCAGAAAGTGTCCCACGGCTTCCTGGGGATAGGTCTCGCGTCTCTGGCAAATGTATTGTCTCGTCCCTCTGGCGGAGCCGCCTGAGTGGTATAAGCGGTAGCTATGCGATCGACGGCGCGGATGAGTGAGGGTGTGGCCGGTATGGAGCTCAAAACAACAGCGCCAGGTGTTGACTCCGCTGCCTGTAGAGGTCTCTCTTGCTGCGATGCCAGATGTGGACTGGATGCGGATCCCCTAGAGCCAATCTGTTGGGAAGGCGTATCTGCGGGTCTCACACCGTAGCGCATCGAATGTCGGCGGAAGAATCCTGGAGTCCAGTGAGGGACATCTCGCGAAGCTCTCTCCCGACTGGCTTCCGTGAGATCTTCCTCATAATCGGAGTATTCGGGTACTTCAGCAAACGTGAGACTGGGAGGCTTGACATCGGTGTAAGAGTTGGTGAGGGTGGCTGAGGACGCAGGGCTGAGAGGACGAAGGACAAAGGGTTTGTTTGTCAACAGCTCGTCTTCTTCTTCGCTTGATGATGACTCGTCGTCACCAGACTGAAACCTGATCGCTCGCTTGGCAGTGTGCATACTCCCATCTCTGGGAATATTTTTCTTTCGAAGGAAGCCTGGCTGAGGCTTGGTACTAGTCAGAGGAATGGGAATGTCGAAGGGTTCTTGTAGGTCCCTTAGCTTCTCTGAAGGACCAGACCGAAGAGGGAGCACCGGCAGCTTTTGATCAGGGGCAATGGGTGCGAAATACCTGTCGCGGCCCAAGAGACGATCGTACAGAGATGCAAATGGTGTGAAATTCCCCGCTCGACTGCCGTCGGTTGGCATGCTGCCTGAATACTTGGCGAGATAATGATCCCACTTCTGATTGAAATTCAGCTCCCCAAAAAAACTTGTGGTATGTGGCGATACTCACTTCGTCTGGGTTCTCTCCGAGCTTGACATGGAGCAGCCAGTCACAAGCAGCACCGGCACAAAACAGTAGAGAGTACGCAGCACTGAGGCCCTTCTCCTGGCTCGTGCCCCAGCCATCGCCATCGCTGACCCATAGCCGCTCCCAGACATTGCCCCATGCAGTGTTGCGGACCAGAATGGCAATAGAGAGAACGAGGCCAAACGAACCTGTTGAGGCGTTCGCAAAACGTAAAGCGATGTCTCGGGTACTGGCAAATGGGAGCAAGGATAAGACTGTCCCGATTACCGTAAACGCAATCGTTATTGCGATACGAGTGATAAGGGACGGGTGAGAGATTACGATGAGGGCAATGGCTAGAGTCGCACTGCGACGCCAGAGCGATTGGTAGGTGTCAATGAAAAGGCAGATGGAGGAGACGCACTATCCCGAAGCAGCCGCAAAGGTCAGAGTAACGTACTTCCATCTTCCAGAAAAGATTGTGCAGCATATTGCAGAGAGCATCCAGATGGAAAGGAAGGCTTTGGGGCCGAGCGGGGACGACAACGTCTTACTGGGGATGAGAAGCGAGAGGAAAGTAGAAAAATGAACTAATTACTGATGAGGTCCGAGAGCGGTCAGCAGGAGAGCAATAGCGTACCTCCAAACGTGAACCCTGAGCAGAGACCTCCAACTCCACTCTGCAGAAAGAGAGACCAAATTGGCCAGAGAGCCTTGGCCTTTGGTCTGGCTTGCTTGTGCGATTCCGCCGGCGGAAAGATACGGGTCCTGTCCAGGGTTACGAATGTGCCAGAAAAGGTTAGGAGTAAGGACAGGAAGAGAAGGGGAAGAACGTAAGCTAAGGCGAACGGCCTCGTAGGGAGCAGCGCGGAGAGCAGTTCATAAGAAGCGTTAGTGGTCATGGCGAGAGGATCAGCAAAAAGTAAGGCCGACACTATGCAGCTGTCGATGGTGCCAGGTTGCGGCGGACTGTAACCTCGGCACTCGTGCGCAGCTGGTCCCCTGGAGAGCGGAGAACGAAGAGCGGATGAATCCCCCGGAGTCGTAGAAGCGAGTAGAGTCCAGGGCGCCAAAGTGACCTCGCCCACGTGGGAGACACCTCTTGGTCCGGGAGGACGCCAGCGCGCACCATCCCATGCTGCGGTCCACGCTCTCTCGACCATCGCTCCTGCGATCCTGCCGCTCGACTCTCAGAGCATGCCATGCTACTCCCGCCACTCTTCTCCTGATTTCCCAGAGGCAGTACTCGTCCTCCCGCGACTCGCAAGTCGCTTTCAGCCAAGTAACAGACAACATACGGCCAGCCACAGAGCTTCCCTCGTCACAAAAGCCCGGCTCAGCCGAGCCAAGTTCTCACACTCCTTCTACACCCCAACGTGCAGCACATCTTCTTGACATTCCCTGCGATGCTCCGCCACCGCAAAGCCAGGAGAACGCACGTTCTTCTTCCGACAGCTCAGCTCAGCTTCCGAAAGTGCTCGGCGTCGAGGAGGTCAAGGAAAAGCTCCGCTCTTGGACAGAGAGTGCTGCCGCCACCATACGAGATAGAGCGGATCGCTACACGGCTGTAGCAGCCACGACGTTCGGGCAGCTTGGACGAGAGTTAAACAAAGTAACGGGCTATGGCGAGATAGAGTCACTCAAGAGACAGGTCGCGGAGCAGGGTGCGTGTACTTGTCTGAGGAAATGCCCGGATATTTATACCTTCCCTAGAGCAGCACATCAAAGCAGCACGAGAGGCTGCCCATGGAGCTAAGACTGCCCTCGAGCAAGCCGTGCAACAGCGCGCCAAATCCCAGCGGGAAGTCAACGACCTGCTGCAGCGCAAATCATCGTGGACAGATGAGGACGTAGGTCGTTTCACGGCCCTGGTCCGTCAGGACCATCTCTACGAGCAATCAGAGGCTTGTGCGAAGGCGAAAGCGTCCCGAACCGAAGAGGAAGTTGAACGAGAATTCACAGAACTCATGCGTGTAATTCTCAACCGATACCACGAGGAACAGGTCTGGTCGGACAAGATCCGCAGCGCGTCGACATACGGGTCCTTGACCGTTCTTGGTCTCAACGTGATCGTTTTCATCCTTGCGATTGTCATTGTAGAGCCATGGAAACGTAGGCGTTTGGCACAGACATTCGAGAAGAAAGTCGAGGAGGTGGCTGTGGAGACTATTGGCACATTTGAAACCAAGTATGGAGAGCTCTCAAAGCAGCTCAAGGATCAGAACATGCTCCTACGTGAGTTTATGGAGGCTATGAGTTATTCACTTCAGCCTTCATCAGCCGATATTGCTTTGCGGGACAGTCAGAAAGAGGAATTAGGCGCAGTTATCTCGGTATCGCCTCACCATAGCTTTAAAATACTGAATATGTCCCATGGGCAGCTGTGGATTGTGGCTGCCGGTGCAACAGCTGCTGGTGCCATAGGCTGGTTAGCAGGCAGTGGGTTTAGATTGTAGTTACAATAGGAATGCTCAAAGTTTTGCTTTGGACTTGCTTTTAGACTTGCTTTTATGGTAATTCAGCATGGCAATACAGTTGACAAGCTCATAATGCATGAGGTTGCCATGCATAAGTTGTTGTGATGCATAGAGTGAAGGTGGCACCAAGTTTGTGTCAGCTATTTATGCATGCATATTTCATGCTGCATAATGCATGTTGTGGAGTGAGGCTCAACACTTCATGAAGGAGCAGGAATCATGGAAGACAACAGCAAGGTGGTGTGGATGATGGTCTCACAACTTCAGTACAGCTTATACAGCTAGCCTGATTGACCAAGTAATATTGTGTTAGTAGAGTAAAGAATACAAGTAACTAGTTGAGCTTACCTAGCCCAATTGACCAAGAGGTCAAGATGGAGGCTAGGTAACAACAAGGTTCTACTATATATACTACTGAGGCTGCACACAGACCAGGCATTATATAAGCTAAAGGTTGCTGGAGTAGTGGGGCAGTGGCATAGAAACAAGGGCCGGTGAGTCATGGCATCTGACATATCTGAACCGACAGAGGTTGGAGGTCCGATGCCAATCAGACTCTGATAGAAGGAAGTCAGCATCAGTGATGTGTTGTCAGACTGATGGAAGTTGGATGTCCGATGTCAATCAGACTTCTGATTGAGACTGTCAGAAGGCTGTATGTGACAGCTTCTATGATAGTGGTGTTTGTGTCAGCACACCAAGCACGCTGATGCGCTATGAGGGTGTGAGAGTAAACTGGTGCTAATACAAGGGTTTGAACACTAATGATGGTAGAGATGTTGTAAAAACCCAGGAAAAATTGTAGAAAATACGGAAAAATTACAGAGCAGGGCTACGCCCACAACACGACCTCTCTCCTATAACTGAGACTCCTGACAAGGTGCAAGTCCTTGAATTTATCAGATTCCCACTCAAGTTCTGCAGCATTCTGGTTGACTGCCAAGACTGAGCTGGAATCAGTATTTTTGTAGATTGGACGAGGCTATGCATGATGTGTGGCGAAGTTGGCAAAGAAGATTTGTCATAGTGCTAAAAGATTTTGGTGATAGAAGTTACAGATTTCAGTGTTCGTGTGGACATCTTTTGCAAGGACCCATTTGTCAGTGCTTTATTTGTAGCCTTTCCATTGGATAAGGTACTGAAGTTGTCAGCAATAGATGTGAGAGTCCAGGATTTTATTGACTTTATATTCTTCTTTCTGTTTGACTACAACAGAGGGGTGAAGGAGGAGGTTTGACTATACCATTGTTGTACCAGGAACTAAGCCGGTTTACGTGAAAGACCAGGCAAATCTTGAGCCAGCTGGGTAATTCAAGGTGATAGTAAAGTTCTCCTACTTTTTTTGTTATAATGAAGGGCCCAAGTTGTCTTGGCCTGAGTTTTACAAGTTTTCTGGTGTATGGCTATATCTTTTGAAGCTAACCAGACTTTGGCTTCAACCAAGAAAGAGTGAAGTGTAGATTTGCTTAACTTATAATCAATCTTCATCTTTTCTTTGGTCTGACAAAAAGCAAATTCAGCTTCTTTATAGATTTGAGCCATTTGATTAAGTCTGTGATTGAGTGCTAGAATACTAGAGTGTATTCTGGCAGGGACAGTAAAATTGAGTTGATATCCGTAGAGTACTTCAAAAGGCAAGTGGTCATTATCAGAGTCTACACAAGAGTTTAATACAAACTCAGCCATTAGTAGCCATTCGTACCAGTCATTTTGACATTGAGAGCAGAACAAGTGGAGGTATTTTCCACTTTGGCATTCTTTTGTTTTATTTTGCCATTGCCATCTAGGTGATAGGCTGTGGTTAAATCTGACTCAATGCTGAGTTGTTTATATAAACTTTGCATAAAGCGGGCAGTATATTGAGGTCCTCTGTCTGAGAAGATTTTGCATGAAATACCGTGGTGTCTGGCCATCTGGAAAAGCTCACAATGTTAATTACTACTAAATAGTGCTAATTAACACTAATTAATATAGTAACATTAATTAACTAATCCTCTCTATTATGCTTACATTTTTGATAGTAAATTAACACTAATGTAGTAATTCATTTATAAACTGTTTATGAGCTGTTTATTAGCTATTCATTTGATATTCATTAACTGTTATTTAGTGTTAATGAACTGTTATTTCTTGTTAATAGGCTGTTATTTCAGTATTCTTAGCCTCAAAATCAACATATCAAACTTAAATTTAATTCTATGCACATTTCTTATGCTATACAACATATTGATAGCTTTATACAAGCATAATATTCAGAAAAAAGAAGGGAAAGAAAATGGCCTCAATGAGAATTGAATCCCAGTCTCAATACTTTCAAGCTATCTATTAGAACATGCACACTTTAACTACTGAGCCATAAAGCTCACATAAACTGTACACTTCAATGTTTCTATATACACTCAGCTAACAACTTACAAATAATTTCTAAGTGCAATCAAGAAGTTTAATATATATTCACACTTCTAGGTTGAAATAGAACTGTTGTTCTTGTATATAATTCTAGATGTACAATATTTGATATAATTGTCATTAGCTAATATAACAATGTTTAATATATACAGTGGCTTTTTGCAATAGATTATTGACCATTGCTTTAACCACTGAATTTGCTGATTAAATAATATGTTGTTAGTAGGCACATAGTAAAAAATAAGGTGCAGAATAAATATAACATTTATAACACAAATACAGTTGTATATAGCTGATTAGCTAGTACTTAGCAAAAAAAACTACTTGCTGTGTCTTGCAATAGAA